AGGCTTTATAGAAGTTACCACACTCAAAGGGGGAGTGGATTGGAGGGACACCTCTCCACTGAATGTATTGGAGGGGGACAAACTTCTAGTGAATGGCAATGTTTGAAGTCAGGCTGAACAGAGAAAGTGAGAGTAACTTGGTATTTTACCAGTAAATTGCAACCTTCTCCTTCTCGTGGCAGTCCAGTGTTTCCTGGTTTTGCAGTTTATTTCTGTAGAGAAAGTGGAAGACTAACCTACAAAACTGGGGCAGGGATTTCTTGGAACGTGGGGAGAGATCCTCCTGGTCCCTTTGAAATAATCTACACACCTCCAAAGGAAAATGCAATTTCAGGTGTATTTGCCATAGATTTAAATTTATGATCGTAGTGGCAGGCAAGAAACTAATTCCATCCTGCTCTGACCTTCTGCTTTCCCCAGTGTTGCAGTGTTACCTGGTTACACTTCTGAGGTTTCTGGTAACTTTTTAAAATACATGTCTGATTGTGCTTTAAACATTATAAAAGTACTCGACCTCAATGCCTCATTATACATTTAAAGCAAGCAAAAGGCTTTTTGGGTCAATCTTTGATGTTTCCCTTTGTTTTTTTCTCTTCAGGGCCGAGATGGAAGGAAGAATGTTATTCCTCATGTTCTGTCTATGAATGGAAACCTGGACCGAGGAGTCTTGGCCTATCTCTTTGATTCCCTACAGCTGGCTGAGAATCCATTAACAACAAAGAAAAATTCACAGAGAAAGGTAACTTTCTGTAGAAAGTGTAACAAAAGTCTAAGTACAAAAGCCACAGACAATATGGTAAATTCAAGCATGGAAATGTCTCCTTTTTCCACCTGGCCATCCTCTTCCCTTCCCAAATGGATGCAGACTGACTGTTCTCACTGGTAGCACCAGGCTGGCCCCATGGCACTGCCCAGCAGGTCTTGTCACCCACATAAGCATTTTTTTCTTTCGCTCTGAGGTTCCCTTTCCTGTTTTACCTCTTTCTCTGGTGGGCAGGCATGGTCTTGCTGTGCAAGCAGTGAAGGAGTTAAGAGAAGTTGGAACGTAGCTGCAGTTTGTGGAAAAGAGGAATTTGTCTCTTCCAGCAGCATTTGAAGGGGGCTGAGAAGAGCAGAAAAAGTGGGTCACAGGTGGTAGTGGGGCATCTTCCCAAGGACCATGGTTATTCCCACTTTTACCCTATTTCTCTGCAGTTTGAGTGCTGGCTGGCAGACAGGGCTTGTCACCCAAACAGCTGTTTGTTCTTTAAGAACAGGCAGTAGACTGGATGGGAACTGTCTGCTGGGCTGTCTCTGATCACTCTGGCTCCGTTCAAGATGATGGAGCTCTGCTAACAAATCTTCATTTCTTTCCTGGGGCTCAGCCAAAATGGAGTAATTTCTGCCCTGTGAGTCTAGCTGGAGTATGAGTGTGCTAGTTATGTAAAACACAGCTTGCTGCTAGTTCAGGAATTTGTGCTATGAGAAAATTTTTGCCTGTTCAGAGCCTTAATTTCAGTTAAAAAAACTTACTATTTCCTAGTTCTGTAGAATTGTGTGCTAAACAAATTTGGTAATCTGTTGCTTTTTTAAAATTTACAAGGTACTTAAGCTACATCCTTGTTTAGCACCTCTTAAAGTGGCCTTGGACGTAGGCAAAGGTCCAACAACAGAGCTGAGACAGGTATGTTGTAAGACAGTATTTTAATTTTGAGCACTGAATCTCCACGTTACAGTTCAGACAGGGTTTGTGTTGGGGAAAATCTTTCTGCTGCTTTGATTCCTGCTGTGCAGCTTGTGAGTCACAGCCAAAGAAGTTCACTGCAGGCAGTTCCCTGTGTGGACACACTGCTTTTGGTGCTGTTAATAGACCTGATACTTGTTCCATGCAACATTAAAGAAAATAAATAACACAGTCCCTCCCAGCTTCTTAATATTTCAGAATTATCTTAACACATGGGTTGCATCTTCAGAAGGATTTCTTAAAAGTTTTTGTGTCAGTAAGTCATTGTCAGTCCTCACAGAAAGGAGCAAACTTACACTGTTTTTAAACAGAATTGGAGATTTAATTGCCAGGCTGCTTTCCATTTGGAGATTATTTCAGCCAGCAAATTAACACCAGCTAGGAATGTTAATACCACACATGTTAGAGTTCTGATGGTTTCTTTGTAGAGCCTCAAAGTCTGTCTTTTAACTTTTGTTTTTAAATGATCACAGGTTTGTCAAGGACTGTTCAATGAACTGACAGAAAACAGAATTTCTGTGTGGCCAGGTTATCTTGAAACTGTGCCAGTGTCTCTGGAACAGCTTTATACAAAGTAAGGAGAAACAATCTTTGGTAAATTAAAGTATGGAGGTGAAAGATGACTTTGTGTGGACTAGTGCAAATATGCCTGATTTCAGTAAGAAGTCATTGGGTGCAGTAACCACGTGACTGAAGGCATTGATCCCAAACTACAGACTTGGATTTGAGTAGTTTTATTATGAAAAGCATATTGTTCATTTTTTAAATTAAGTATAAGCCTTTCATGTGTTACTGTTATTTCCCTGGAAGTGTGAAATGCCTTTTAGAGACTCTCCTATTGAAAATAAATTTCTTCACATGAGCCAGAAGCTCTCAGAATTGTTTCCCACCCTCAGCCCCATTTTTGCATCTGCTCTGGTTCTGTGTTTCAAAGTACTGTTTCAAGTAGCACACTGTGTCTAGTCTTAAAAGTTCTTCCAAATCTGGAACCATTACTGTCAGTGTATGTGATGGAATTATTTGTGGATATAAAAACAGCTATTCCATTTGGGGGCTTCATGTATGAGTTGTTTGTCAGGAGTGAATTTGGGGCATATGGCTGCTCATGCCAGTGGATCTTGAGCATATTGGTGAATGTTTCTTAGAGAAAATAAATACAACTATTTGTTCATGTGCAGTAGTATTCAAAGTAAGTCAGATAAATTCTACTTCTGCAAAAATATTCCTGTAATAGGTCACTAAATAACATTCTTTTATCTACTAAAGTAGCTAAATAATTTAAAGAAATGTACTCAGGAAAGCAAGGAATGGCAACAAGAAAACTGGTGTTGTCATGCTGGACTTAGTGCAGTACAGCAAAAATAAATATTTACAGCTTGTGGTCATTGGCACATAATTTATCTGATTTTTTCCACACACCAAAAGCAGTAACAGGGGGACTCTTTTCTTTTCAGGTACGATGAGATGAGCATTCTCTTCATGATCTTGATAACTGATGCCACTCTGGAGAACGGGGTGGTCCAGCTGAGGAGCAGAGACACCACCATGAAGGAAATGATGCACATTTCTAGGCTGAAGGACTTTCTAACTAAATATGTGACGTCAGCCAAAAACGTGTAAGCTGGAATTCGCTGAATAAAGGGATTTTCTTAAACCTCTGTGCCTGGACGGGTTTCAGCGTTGTTACGGTCTCGGTGGTTTCTCTGCAAATAGCTCTGCTAAAGTTTGGTGGTGCATCTGTTTCCTGCCAAGTCTAGACCATCCAGGTCTTCCAGGTTTCCTTGGAAAAAGGCAAGAGGTGCAACTTGTCCTTGGTTAGCAGGGCTAACCATATCCTCATTCTTGTCTCTACTGTCAGGTAAAAGTACTCCATCCTAAGCTAAAAATTCAGCTTTCATCTGTATTGGTAACACAATTATGATCTCTGCTGGAAAATGGGATTTTATATAAAAGACTTGCAAATCTTAAATGTTTTAATAAATCAGTATCTTTGTACTATCTGTTTGTAGGAATGTGTTTTAATCACGTGGCCCCAGTTCTTCAGCATTCAAGCTACTTCATCTTGTGCTTGATAAACATAAAAATCAGAAGTAAGTTATCAAGAGTAACAGAGGAATAGATTTAAATAAATTGTAAAGGTTTTTACAAGTATTTTTTGTGGAAAGAAAAAGTCTGTGTATATAAAATACTGGAAAAAGCCTAATGTGTGATCACATTTTTCCTGCTGAGCATAGTGGTTAAAATCAGATACAAGAGTTTGCAGAGATACAGAATTGAGTGTTTCTGATCTTCTGGAGATTTATAACATGTTCAGAGCTTGTTGAGTCACTGTGTAAAGTGCTTAAAGTGTGTGCAACAAGGCACATGGCCTCTGATAGTCATCAGTGTCATGAAACACAGGAACTTGTCTTAAAATTTTCTTCTTAACTAATAATGAGTTATTTGTAACAATAATTGCTGCATAGTGTAATTATGTTAGATATAGTCAGCATAGTTAGATAAGGTCAGCATAGTGTGACTTGTTAAACGTGTGGAATTCTAAATTAGCTGTGGAATGATAGTAGAACAACCCAGGATTATTTAAGAACGACCTGTAGCAGGATGCAGAGTTTGTTTTGGAATTAGCTGTTCCAAAAGTTAATTTTGACATCCCTACCCTGAGAGCTGAAATAATGTAAAACTGAGAAATTCCCATCCTTACAGGTACTGAGACCCAACACACATCCTCCAGTGTGTGCCTAAGAGGACACACTTGGGATTGTATGTTTTTTTTAATTTATACTGAACTAAAGCCTTTTGATTATCTTATGTCTGCACACAATCCAGTTTCTGCTTTAGGGGAATTGTTAACTGTACAGGAACTTGGGGCTGGGTGAAAGCTTTAAATAATTTATTCCTTTCTGTTTATTCATCAGATGCCAGTAATGCCAGACTATATATTGTGTCCAGCAGGATGTCATACCTGGCAGTGATTGCATTGCTTTGGTGTGGCTTTTATGGTGCTGTTTGGGCAATAAGCTGCTGTTTGTCGTAATGGAATTGCTGTTTGGTATTTCCAATTGTTATCTGTTCTGCTTTTTCTCTTAAGTTGAAGTCCTTAGATATTATAACTGTGAGATTTTGCTTCTATCTGTCTACAAACTGCCTAGGCCAGGAAGCTGGTATCTGAACATCATCTCTTTCTGTGAAACTTGCTGGTACTTATCACATTTGGGGACTGAAAAATTCTTTAAAAACATGTGATTAAGTTAACCACAAAAGAGATCATACCTGGTACTCAGTTTCTGATGAGGACCTTTGAATAGACTGTAGTACATTCCCTCTTCCCTGCTAAAAGCCAGAATAGCACAATTCATAATTGCTTTTTTCATACAGATACCCAGTAGAAGAATTAACATTACATCAGCAATGTGGTTACTAATAACATCTGCATGGTTTCATAGTGAGGCTGTTAACTTTTTGGGTCATAGGATAGTTGTCTTCTTTTCTTTTTCTTTTTTCCCCCCTCAAAAGGTCTTAAAGTTACTTTAATTTCTCCATGGTAACTAAGCAATTTCATAAGCAACTACAGCTATCTAAACCCTGCCTCCACCCAGCGAAGTCCCCTCAAAACATGGTTGTGAGCATCAGATATTCCAATATTATAGCTTGAGGTTTTCACCTTTTTCATCTTCTCTTCTAATAACAGAAAAATTGATGTATTCTTCTTCTGGCTTAACAGGCTCTGGATTAAAGATGGTGAACAGCAGTTAATTACAAGCAACTAGATCAGACTTTTTTTTTTCTATAATCTTGAAATAAAGCAGTGAGATTCTATAGTGAATATATTTGTGTAGCATTCCCAGGCCTTATCAGAGCTCTTGTCCCTGTCCTTGCAGGCTGTGGGTGGGATGCTGAGTGATCCCTGGCATGAGCAGCTGCACAGCAGGGCAGTGAGGACCTTACCTGTGTACTGCAGGATCAGGAAGGCAGGTTAGTTTGGAGAGAATTACTCCATTTTGATGTTCAGAAATGGGAAACATAATGCCCTTGCTATTGGTTTGGGGGTTTCTTTTTCCCCTTCAAAAGAGACATTCACATATAGAGCAAATATAGAAAACTCCCAAGTTCAGAGCATTGTGGCTATTGGGGAACGTCTTTGTTATTGTGTATTTTCTGCAGCTGAAGCAGCACAATATCTTAAGTCAGTTGCTTTGTTGTCACCTCATAATTTAAGTTTGAACTGAGTCTTGTCAAACTTCAGAAACATGGAATAAAGAGCAGAAGCACTGAACAATTTTGAACAGAATGCAGGAGCTACGTAAGTTTTATTTTGCTACAACTCCATATAGCCCTTTGTTGGCTCTTAGTAAATACATGGAACCTCATTTCATTTAAGCAGCTGCAGTTTTGGCTACATGGCTGACAGGTGATGCCAAATATGGATTCTGAGGGAATCCATATATGAGGCTCCTGCAGTGCCTGAAGAACTGTGCCCATACCATCCTGACTGCAGGGGGGTGACATGAACTTACCAATCTCTGCATAGATGACATCATTTTCAGTCTCCTCCACATTCACTGTTGATGTAAAGCCAGTTGAGGGCCTGGTAGACTTATATTTTTCTGCAAATTGTAAAAGAAAAACACGTGTGTATACCTGTATCAGTTTTTCTTAAGAGGGAAGTAAGCAGTTTCATGGTATTTTTTGAATATTTGGAGACCTCAGATAATGTTATTTTCATGATAAATATTGCTCTTTAACCAAGGGCATTTTAATAGATTTTAATAGATTTTAATAGATTTCTCTTTCCAACGAGATCTGATTCCTTCCAGTGTTTCTGTGTATTACATTAGATGTTGCTTTGTTACTCCCATCCCAGACCTGCCATCCAAAACAGGGTAGAAGTTTTGCCTTATCAATGTTAAGTTGCCAGTGCTGGTTGAGAGGAGACTTGACAACATCCTAAATCACCAAGAGCTACTCTGTTGGTAAGGTGATGTGTACACACTAAAGTATATTGACAACATAAATGAAAATGAAAGAGACATTCAGATAACTCACTTGCTTTATATGAAGGAATTATGAAAAATGGAATTGCCAGAGCAAATCCTATTACGAGTAGTAGCAGGATCAGCCCAAGAGAAATTATCAGGCCCTGAGAATGGCTTCTCTCTTCTGCCAAAAAGAAGAAAAAAGTATTTATGCAATGAAATGTTTTGTATTTTAAGTATTTTCTGTGCATTAAAATCAAGGTCTTTGGAATTTCTTTCAGCTTTTGGATTAACTGTGGTTAATGTAAGTGCTCAGGAGAGTCCCAAGGGCACTGTTCCCCAGCTTGCTGGTGCCAGGAGTCTCTCTCCTAGGACCAGAGAGACAAATAAAACCAGACTCTCCCCAAGGTGGACCAGGGGTCTCTTGTAAAAGTGAGTCTTTTACAGTCATTCTTCATGGGCACTTCAACTTCTCCTGTCTAGGCTGCGTGGAATTCTGTGGGTTTGCATGCATTTGAAAAACTAAAATTATTTTTTTGTCGTAAAAAATTATATTTTGAACATGATATTGCAGGAACAAAATATCTAGCTAAAAAACTTGGATCATGACAGCATTCTGAACTTTATATGGTCCCTGTTTGTCAGTGGTAACTCTTTTATGCTTACCTGCTAATGTGAAGTTGAAACTGTTGCTGTATTTCATACTATTGGGAAAACTATTATTAGCTTTGCATTTATAGGTTCCAGAGTCAGTAGAGGAATTGACAAATAGAAAAATCACAGCTGCTTCCCTCTCATGCATCATCACTGGGGGAGAGATACTTTGTTTTCCCTTGAAGAATATGTAAGTGATGGGAAGAGATCCATTCTCGGAGAAACAAGACAGGGTCACGTTCTGGCCTTTCGTTGTGTGAGAGGTGGGTGAGCTCAGCACTGGTTTGGAAATTGGCTCTGACAAAAGAAAACTTAAAAGGCTCAATCACTGAGTACAGGACAAGCTCCAAGCAAGACTCAGAGTTAAGCAGCAAAATGAGGTGAGCATCGAGGATGGAGGGTTGGTGAGCCAGGGCAGGGCAGCACTGCTGACTCCTGAGGGAATAACAGCCATCTGCAGTAAAGGTCAGCTCCTCAGGCAAGACTGTGCCCCTAAAATAAAGAGTGCTGGGAAGGTGCCCAGCCAGACATACCTATAAGGGTGAAGTTGAGGCTGTTGCTGTATTTTCCATCACTGGAGGTGTTGTGCTCAGCTTTGCATTTGTAGGGACCCAGGTCGCTGGCAGAGCTGATTGTCAAGGTAAACAATGCAGGGGTCGAGTCTGACCTGTTCAAAGAGGATACCTGCTGGTTGTGTTTGAACAAGGTGTATCTGACAGGTGGAGATCCAGAGGCAGAGCAGCAGCAGAGGGTCACGTTCTGGTTCATCACCACGTTCAAACTCCTGTGAACCAGTACGAGCTTGGGGTTGGACAGGATCCCTGGAAAGGAGAAGCTTCTGAGTGAGTTGACTGCACCTATCACCCAAAAAACTCCCAGATTTTTCCCCAAATATGTTGAGAACCAAGCTATATTTATTTCTGTTGAAACAGGGCATTATATACTTTTTTCCACCTCCAATAGCAGGCAGCTCAAGTTCATACTTTTTAAAACCAGTATGCAGCTTCACACATGACAAAAAGTGCATGTCTTCATGCAAAAGAGGGCACAGCCACACAAAGCCCACAGATGTGTCCAGGAGAACCAACAAAAATACTTTTGAACTACAGCTGCAATTAAAATAATAGAAGTACAAAAGATAAATCAAACATTAGGAGTGTTAATGGTAGGAGAGAATAACCTTATATGCTATATGAAAGGTAGCATGTGAACCTGAAAGCAAAAGCAGTATTTTATTTGTGGCTGTATGTAAAAAGGCAGAATTAACCTTGTGTAAGCAGATTGAACTTTTGAATAGTAGCAGAGACCTTGATGGTCTATCAAATTTGTTTCCTTTTATGATATTATACAAATAAATTTGCAGTAAAAACTTGTCTTTTCATAGAAAATGGTACTAAACTACTCATAACTAAAATAACAACATTTCTAGTGGGAAAAAATATTTTAACAACTTAAAGCAATTTTGACTGTACAGAGAGGTCAGCAAAGAGACTGTTAACTTCGTATAGAAACTTGTAAACTGCCTCACTGCACAGACAGGCAAAAGATTTAATTATACATGAACTTTTCAGACATTTTTAAATCCCTTCCCCGCTTTTTGGTTAACAGTCAATTGCAGCACATATCTCAAAATCAACAAAAGTGAACTTACCTTTGCCACTTGCAGTAGTTTTCTGTATCTGCTGAGACATTTGAGCTAAGAGAAGAAAAAGAAAAGCTTTCAGGTGAGAAACAGTGGTTCTGGTTTAGAAAGATTTGGAGTAGGAAAGAAGCATGTCCTTGGCTTACGGTAGGAAAACAGCAGAATTGTGAGAAAAAACATTTTCTTGTACTGGGCAAGAGAGCTGGTGGAGTTACATGACAGATCTTTCTTTCAAAAGAGATCGAGGAGTGGCTCCAGGGCTTGAGGAAGTTCTATATATGGAAACAGTGCTGATCTCTACTGATGTTTCTGTGAAGAGTTTTTTGTCATGTTCCATGCACATTTAGCCTGTGGCAGGCAGGGTAGTGACAGAGTGAGGAGCAGCAGTTTGGGATGCAGGTAAATGTTGCCTAGAGTTGTTCTAGGATACAATCAGCAGTTTTCCATGTGAGTTGGGTGGTAGAACCATGCTGCCATGTATGGAATCATAGAATCACTGAGGTTGGAAGAGAACTCTCAGATCATTGAGTCCGACCATTGCCAGGTCCACCACTAAACCATGTCCCCAAGTGCCACATCTACACATGTTTTAAATCCCTCCAGGGTTGGTGATCCCACCACTTCCTGGGACAGCCTGGGCTTAACAGCCTTTCCCATGAAGAAATTTTTCCTAATATCCAGTACGAACCTCCGCTGGTACAACTCGATGCTGTTTCCTCTTGTCCTATCACTTGTTACTAGGGAGAAGAGACCAACCCCCATCTGGCTACAACCTCCTTTGGGTAGTTTTTATGGTACTGTTCCTAAAAGGGAATGAGATCAATCACTGATCCGTATCAAAAAGTCACATGTTTGCCACAGACAGTGCAAGTGATCATATGGCTGAGACTAAGGAAGTATGTGGTACTGAGTGTTTTTTAGCAGCAATATAATTAAAAAAAGCAGTCCAGAAAAAAGAGAGTATCAAATTTAGAGAAGTTTTAGGATGATAATAAATACTTATAGCTAGCCAGCGTGTTTGGAAAATATTTTGGTCAAACTTCAAATGTGAAGCTGTGAGGAAGTGAGACCTTGTATTAGATGCTACAGATCTTATAAAGAACTTGAGTTCAACAGCACTGCATAAACAAACTTGATGACTAATTTGATGAGCTAATCCGTAATACAAATTACAGTCTTGGCAAGTAGATGTTCTTTCCTTGTCATCCTCTGGACAAAGTAAGTGTAATCGTCAGCCATACACGGGCAGTGCCTTCTGAGGGGCTCCAGGCCCTGGTGTATATGAGGAGGTGATTGCTTACACAGAACATGCCTTAAAAGAGTTGTTGTGATCCTCATCTTATTTCCTGTTTCTTAGTTTCCAGTCTCTGAAGGCAGCAAGGCAGTCTGGAGGTGTAATACAGGATCCCTCCCAAATCCTCGGCTCTTGCAGCATTGCAAAACTTCCTCACAGAATGTGTGTGCACTTCCTTCCTCCTTGTTTTTCTTTTCTTTTTAATTTTAGGGGTGGAGGGGATTTGTTTTGTTTTGTTTTTTTAATTTCTTCTAAGACAATCTCCACCCTCCCCTCACAAGTGTTTCTGGTTTGGAAACGCTGACAGCAAACCACAAGGGCGGAACATCTTTTCACAGCTGTCAGGAAGCACGTGTGAAAATGCAGCTGTTGGGGGAAGAACTGTTGGGGTGTTTGTGCATTTTCCTGTTGTGGGAGCCTGTTCTTGTCAGAAACCCACACACACAGTCCCTGAGACACTGGCAGCCTGGGATTGTGTCCCCTCAGAGGCCCTGGAGGTGCTCACCCACCACCCAATGCTTTTCTCTTTCTAAGAAGCTGCTTCATGCTGTGTGTGGGCAATGGGGAGTGGTTACACAGCAAGTGTGAATTTGGCCGTGCCTTTCAAAAAATAAAAGTCTGGTAGTCACCAGGATCTCTCATCTACAGCAGCTTCAGTGGTGTTTGTGCAGGTTCCCTCGGGATGCACAGCCTGGGTGTCCAAAGAGGACGAGTCCAAAGGCCTGGTTTCTGTTTGGAATTGAGTTTACTTCCATGCTGATTGTTTTTCTGGCAGGGGTGACTATTGACTTTGGACTAAGGTGATGTTGCTTTGTTCAGCATGTACACAGAGAGTTTTATGCCAACAGTAAGATATTGTGTAAGCTCAGAGTTCCCTTTTTATTAGATGTACAAATTTTCTGCCTGCAATTAATGTGGCTGTACATGTAAGAAGAACTGAATAAATTTAGCAGAGTAAAGAACATGACATTACAGAACAGAAGCCATCCAGCCAAAACAAGTAAGTTAAAAAGTCAGAAAGGGAAATATGTATCACTTGGTGCTGTGACAATATTCTGCCTCAAGCGAGCAGGTGGAAGAGAATAAAACCCAAACTGAGCTTTCATTCACAAGGTCAGTGAAGGCTTGAGAATGTAAATAGTGTGATAGTGTTCTGTAGTAAGGCTGTGAAAGCTTCACACTGTGTCTGTTCTATCACAGGCTACCAGGGAAATTTGCATTTTTCAGCAGAATTATGAAAGTTATTCCCAGCCCCAGTTTCTCATCCTGAGAGGTTCTGGAGGAGCATCTGCTACAGTAGATATCTGCAGAAGGTTTGCTAGAAATCACCATGTACTGACAGCTATGTCTGATGATGAATTAAATTAAGGCTCTTGTTTTGTCTGCAGAAAGGTTTTAGTGAAATAGCTTGATCCTCACTGAATACCGTATTTTTACACTCCTGTAAAAATAGCTGTGGGAGCCAGTCTGCTGTTTATTTTAACTACTTGATGTTTGTGAGAGGATTGTTTTTCTGGAGGACAATTAAGAGTAGAAGAGGAAATTATCTCTTCTATATGGATATTTAAGGTGGCTTTAAATTTCTTGCAGTGATGCTCAGGTTCTGAATGAGAATTTTGTTGTGACTGGTTTTCAGTTAACTGCAGGTTGCAAAGGACATGTCAGCAGGTGAAAAGAACTTTTGGGCACCCAGTTTGATAACCTAGCAGCTCCCACATCTCCCAGAGATGAAATGTGGTATGTCTGTCCTCTGAATCCTCTCCCAAAACTGGAAAAAGAAAGAAAGAATTTGGATGAGACATGGAAAACTGGGGTTACTAATACATTTCTCATGGGATAAATTCAGACATCACTGTATGAAGAGTGTTCCAGAGAAATGTGTTCAGGAATTGCTGTAAGAGTGCTGTGGTTGAAAAATATGGAGTACTCTCTTAGTCAGCTTAATCAGCCTTCTTTACAAACTCACAGTTGTAATTTTAACTTTTTTCTGCTGCCTAACCTCTGATAAAAGTTAACTTTTTTTTTTTCCTTAGAAAACATACTGAATGAAAAGAAAAATGCTAAAAAAAATTAAATCTGCCAGGACTCTTATCTGGTTTTCATCCCTTTTCAAACCTCTGGTGGTGTACTCTGAGGTGTCTCTGAGGAGTATCTGCCCCTCTGTGCAGTTTAACCAGCAGTTACATGAGTGGCAGCACTGGCTGTGTGTGGGCACCTGCTGCAGGTAAGGAGCAGATCATTCTGCCTCTTGGTTTGTGTTAACTCTGCTGAAAGATTTTCTGTCAACTTGGACCAGCTTGTTGAGTCACTACCAACTGAATTATACTTGTGAAACCTATGTGGAATAATTCCTGGAGAATGACCAAGGAGAAATATTTCCAGATTAATTCCCTCTCCAGCCAGAAGTTTCTGATCTCTTCTCTGTCACTGTCCATCCTCTGTGAGGGATATTCCTGCAGAGCTCAAAGCTGGGTTTCAGCTGCATCCAGAAATGCTGGATGTTCAACAAAACAAGTGCAAATCCTGGTGTAGTGCCAGGGAAGGGCAGTGTGTGACAGTGACACAGGCTGTGTTGTGTGTTTCTAAACGGAGGAATTTGTTAATGCAGGAGTGGACAGCAGGAGTGGACAGCGGGTAAAAATGCCCTCGAGGAGCTGAGTCACTCACAAGCTGCTGGCACAAGGAAAGGTCAAGGTGGTATCACAGGCCACAAAAATAATGGAATCATAAATTGATTTTGAAAGAAGGAATTTCTCTCCTTTTATCCAACTGATGAGGTACGTGGAGGTTTGTGTTACATGAAATACAAGTCAAGGTTAGATTTCCAGTGTTCTTCTCAATGTTGCACCGTATCAGTAAGGAAGCATAAAACCAAATAGCAATAATTAGCTCCTGTTGTATTAAAAAGAAAAATTCCAATGTGAAAGCCTCAGTGACATTCTGTCATTATCAACTCCCTGGTTCCTTCAGTTGCTTTTCCAGGTTTAATTTATGTTGCCATTTGGAGGAGGTGTTGGATACCAGTAATCACATGTTTAATTGCACTTCACTGCCGTGCTCATCTCCCAGCAGATGGTGCCATTGTGAAATGCAATTTATTCCCAGATGCACAAACTGGCAATCCAGAGTTTCTGTAAATTGTAGAACTTCCAGACTCCTGGAAAAAAAGGCAGGGTTAATTTCTTTCATGTACTCTGTAAATATTCAAATCCATGGAGGAAAAATAATTTTTAATTCTTCTCTGGGGAGGTATAAGGAGACACTTTAAAAAAAAAAGACTAACGATGCAAGTGTCCCACATTCAAGACAGAACAGTATGCCCTGCAAATATATGTAGAAAGAACTTGTTTCATTCACAGTTCACCAGGGGTTTGTCCAGACTTGTGTAAACAGCAATGTTTGTCATAGTTCTATTATCTATGAGTATACTGAAACAGGAATTTAGAATTGAGCAAAACAGCTCACAGCTACAAGAAATCAATTTAATGATTATCTGTGTCAGGAATTGGAGGATTAGAAATCAGAGCTGCTTTTTTGGTCTTGATTTAGTTACTGGAAAACTTGTGTTGACTTCAGTATAGACGGACCCAGACCTCTGAATTTTTCTAAATTTTAAAATAAAATGTAGAAAAAACCCCAAACATTTGTAGATACACCTCTGTAGCAATTAACTATTTTTAAAATCAGTGAACTTATACAAGAAATTATGTATAGGGGATAAGATTTCTGACCCCAGAAAAGTTTTTATTGGTGAGATAGAAATTCTTTTCTGAAGAAAGTGAAACTGCCCTCAGGAACAGGCATTTGAGAGCAGGAGGCAGAGTTGAGAGGCCCCAGAATTGGCTGGACTCGGTGTGTGCTGTGTGAGGAAGTGAGATGTCAGTGCTGAGCACCAGCACCGTGGCTGCTCTTTGCTGTCACGCCAGCCCGGAGAGCACATGGAAACAAACAGCTGGAATGGGCTGGGAACTCCGAGCTCCCTTTCCTGTCATAAGGGATTGCCTGAAAACACTGTATTTGCAGAGGGAAAAGTTTGAAAATCTTATTCAGCATTTTTCCCTTAGTTAGCAAAATAGGCTTTGCCTCATTTTCAGCAGAACTCAGTTCAGATGCCAGAGCTGAGGGCTCTTAAGAAATGTCAGATGTAAGCAAGCAGCAGGGGATCCAGCCAGCAGAAACAGAGAATTCCCAGAGGAGGTTTTTAATGTTTAAGGGCCCAATTCATTGGCAGTAGATGAAATGTGGTGATTCCCATGGGTTTCAAAGGGCATTCGGTCAGATTATAATGATTTATTCTGTCTGCTTCAGGAGGTGTGTTGCATTTTGGAGGTCAATCCTACTTTTCCCATAAATAGAGATAGGGATTGAATAGAGTTCTGTATATGATGTATATTAGAATAAATTTGATCTCATGTAACTCAGAAATACATATCTGGAGAGATTACAATAAGCTGGCTGTCAGGAAAATCTGCAACTGTATTACTGGCACAGGTGCTTTGAAGTTTAAATTCTTTAGGTCAATGTGATTTCCAGTTTAACCAGGGAAGATGGTCTCAAGCCGTTCTTTTGTGTTTGCATTGTTTTTTCCCCAAGTTTCATGTTCTTTTGGCTTGAATTCCTGCAGCTGAATTTACTTCTTGGATTTTGGTCAACACCAGCGGGATTTTCCTCTCCACGACAATGTCGAGGCTGGGCAGGAATGTGACAGTGTAATCAGCCTGTAAGATCTTCTGGAATGTACTTCTCTTGGGAACGACATCTCCCAACAGCCTCAGGTTTTGGCACCATTAAACCTTACTCCTGAGCTAGTTCATCCTCAAAGCTGGCCTTCCACCCGAGTCTGAAACCAGCCTGGCTCTGAACTTGTCTCACACTCACTCTCTCCTTCCCTTGCTGGGGCTCAGAGAAACCTTTGTCCCTCGTGGGAAAGACTGGTGTGGTTTTGCTGAGCTTTTTATGTTGTGCTAAATTCTTTTCTGGGGAAAGGGGGGAAGGGGAAAATCTCCTTCCTTCCTATTTTTTTGTTACCAATAGCAAAAGTTGATCTACCTTTGTTCTCCACCTGCCATGTGTCCTCCTGCCCTTTTCCTTTACCTGTCCCTGGAGACCATTGTTGGCCACCGGCCAAACCCCCAATCCTTTGTTGGTGGTGTGTTTCCAAGAGCCTGGACTAAGCAGAACAAACACTGTTGGTAGTTAACGGCTTAGTCTTTAGTCATTAATTGCTGTGGCTATTGTGCCATTCTGTAAAACAGCCAGAGAGGTGCTTGTTCATGACCGATGCATTGTTAAACAGATGAGTGTTTTCCTTCTGTTTCCCTTTGCAAAATGCCATTCTTCTATGTGTAATACAAGCATTGAAGTACACTTATAGCTTTAAAATATTGATTTTTTTGGGGGAAAAATACAGTTTTCATTGACCCCCAGGAGAAAAAGAAAAGGATTTCATATAAGTGAAGCTCATGAGAACTGTCTATCTGTTTTAAAGACTTCTGTGAACATATTTAGCGTTGTTTTACACAGTGTTTTAACAAGCTTGGAATTAAAGGAAAGCATTGACTCTGTCTACAAAGGAGAGAAAGAGATTAAGAGCTGAACACTGAATTTTCAAGAATTACTAAATCACTGCTTGGGGAGTTCTGGGACACACAACTCAAGAAACACTTTTTGAAGGGCATGATTTCAACTCACTTTGTCAAGCTGAGTCAGTGTTCAGGATGGGAATGGCTTAAGTCTGACTTAAAAGTGGGCTGATACAGTGAGAAAGGAATATCCTGAGCAACAGAGAAGTGTGCTGTATTTCAGATTGTGCCAGTGCTGCTGCAGATTTTTGCTGAGAATTGAAACTCCAGCCAGTTCTTTTTCTTGTGGGGTGTAAGGTTTATGCTTTTGCAGGCTTTGCACTGTCCTAACTACATAAAATCTGGGGTAGATCCATGTTTCTGATATCTGATGGTGATATGAGAGATCTGCCTGTCCATATTCTGGTCTCACACAACAGTAGCTCTGGTTTCTGAGATAATTCAAATTTATTGTGCACCCCACAGCCACAGCAAAGATGGGACACCTAGAAATGGATGTAAAAGGGAAAAATGGGTAATTATGTACATCTGTTCACCTTGTGAGCACGAAGGGAAATATTTGCTCAAGAATCTGCTGAGTTCAAATAGCAAAGGTGATTTGTGTTCCTAAATGGTTAATCGTGACTTAAAAATACCCATATTGACAGGAACTGCAGGATAAATGTCATTGGAACTTCTTGTTTTTTTAATACACCTTAAGAAATTAAACAAAGCAAATGCATTTGGTGGCGCCCTCAGGAAAAGTCCAGTCACTTCCTGAGCAGTAATCTGCCTGGGAGCAGCAGATAGATTCTCATTGTTTGCCGTTTCCAGTTTCCAGTAATGGGAACGATTACTTGATCCAGCCAGTTTCTGTGGAAGATCTGGGATAACTTACAAATTTTCATGGCAAATTTTTATCGGTTCCCATAAAGAGCCAACGGAAAAAAAAGACCATAACGTGGTTTTGGTACCTGGAGACATCACCTCTGATAATGAATATTGTTTGATTTTGGGGTTAAGTGTCTGTTCTTCAGGAACGAGATGTATCTTGCTCTTCTGGTGATTTTCTTGCAGTGTAAGTTTGATAACTAAGTCTCTTGGTGGGTACTTGTGGTTTTGGTTTGTCTGGGGTGGGGGTTTGGGGAGGCTTTTTAAGTTTCACGTTGCTGTCTCTCAATCTGCAAGCTTTGAAAATAACATTTCTTTTTTTTTCCCCAGGTTCAGAACTCTACACTCAGGATAAAGGTAGGGAATTATAATTTTGGTGGGGTTTTTTTCACATACAAATTTAAAATAACTAATTTAACTAATTTCTTGGTTGCTGGTGTGCATTTGTAACAGAGTTTATTTGGATTTGCTGTACGATATCTCAGTATGAAATTTGGCCACATGAAAAGAAAAGGTATTGCTTGGTGCTGTTTCTTGATACAGTGTTTAAATGAGAGATGTGCTGCTCATATCTTAATAAATGTTTTGGTGAAATCTTTCCTAGAGTAATTTGCTTTCCAGAGGCATAAAAAAGGTGGGAGAGAAAATTAGCATTTTGTTTTAGTATTTAGAAAAGCCTCTCATGCCCACAAGCAAGGAGGGAGGATAAAATTATAGCATATGAATTAAGGGCACTTTTTCCTGCTCATGCAAAGGAATTGGTCAACTGAGCAGAGTTCAGAACTCGTGTTCTAAAGGAACTTTTTACCTTTTCATCCTGTGACTCCCAGCACGTACACTCCTCATGTTTCCTTTTTTCCATCACCAGGGACAAAGGTTTGCTTCTTGTTGTCATGTGGTTTATTCACATGCAAAAAAAAAAATTACAATTTTTGCACTGGTTTTATGCCCAAAACTCTCTCTAGCAAGGACACATTATAAATATCTGGTAAATGTACAGGGCAAGGGGCTTCTTTAGATGCAGGGAAGTTTTCCTTCTAATAGCAAATTTCTAATACAAATCTTGACCAAAATGGGCATAACCCAAAAAAGTTCTAAAGGAAGGGAAAAATCAATGAACTGATAGATCTTTCTCTATACTTTTTCCTCCATCCGTGTGAATAAAAATATTAAGTATACCAGGATTCTAACAGTTACCACATGTAAGCTACAAATTATTTATCATTGCTGTGGTTATAAACACAGAATATATTTCTAAACATATATACACGTATATATAAGTACTATTATGAACTTTGTTTCTAAATGTGTTTATTATTTTTGTATATAAATTACTTTGTATTTAAATTACAATATTCCTATCAAATAAAATGTAAATTTTGTAATTACTTCTTGGGATTAAAGTATAGCAACTTGAGATAACAGTATTATGTTGGACTAACTGAAAATAAATAAGATTTTTTTTTCTCTATCCAGTTTTTACTTTCAACACAGTTGAAATCAAGGTTGAGCCATCTTTCAAAGTGAGGAATGGAGCTCCCATGTCAATTATCTGCCACGCTGATATCAGCAAAAGTGCTGATTTCCAGCTGAAGTATAATTTTACGATTTTTAAGGACCGCAGGCTCGTGTTTATGACTGTGTCAGACACAGGAGATGCACGGTATGAAGTACCTGTGGCCAAATCTTCAGACACAGGAGACTATCAGTGTACTGTGAAAGCAGATAAAAAGACAGGATCGAGTGACCCCGTCCACGTTTGGGTAACAGGTGAGTGCTCTTTCAAACATGGCAAAAACCCCCCAACCTTCCAGGGGAAGTAATAATAGTCAGTGCTCAGTAGGATATCTTGCAAAGTGATTTTTATCCATTGGCCTCACAGTACTTCACCAGAGTTTAGTACCAAACCCTCATGCTCAGGCACGGAAATGAACTTGTGATCTCAGGGCGACATCAGTGACAGTCAGGAACAGTCTGTGCCCTCTGTGCCACCTTCCCCGCTGTCCTGAGCCTCTGTTCCCTAGACTAGGGGAAGTATTAGTTGTGAAAGCTTGTGCCTGTTCCCATAAACTTGATGGAGGGTGGGTAGATTCCTGGAAATGCTGGAAATAAGGTACCGAGATGCTCAGCCTGTGACAGCCACTGCCAAAGGAGTGTCAGCTCTGGGCTGCTTTTGCAGACAGTGTTGTGTCAGTCTTATTCTTTCATTTCTGATGAGAACAAGGGCTACCTCCATCCATACTCTTTCTAGCCTTGTGTTCTTGACTGCAAGTGACATTTTTCCCCTTGGAAAAGCAATTTGGAAAGAATTTGTTCAGCATTAAGTAGGTACTGGGTGGTCTTCAAAAGCTTGGTTCTTGCAAAGTATTTGCATCTGTTAATTAGCATAAATCATTACCACAGTCTTCAGGGATAGTGTTTCTTTCAGGATTATGCAATGTTCTATTTCTTTTCTTGCTTTCTGGTGTAAGGAATGACCAAGCCAACCCTGACTGCTGACAAAAGAGATGTTTTGGAGGGTGAAGTTGTGAAGTTACGTTGTGAGCTGCCTGAAGAAGAACCTCCTTTACAGTTCTGTTTCCGAAAGATAAAGACGAATTCAACGCCTAGAGAAACATGTGTACCTGAACCTTACACAAATTTTTCTGTACTGGAGGTTTCTGTTGAAGAAGGAGATAATATTTTACAATTTGATTGTTTTGGTAGGAGAAATGTAAAACTTGAATGGGAAGACTCAGCACACAGCAACAAAACCCTCGTTACAGTCAGGGGTGAGTTGCTTGATTTTTCTTTTGACATTTGTTTGCTTGCTACAGTTAAAATTGGGCCATGTATTTATAGTTATATATGTTTATCTGCATGTTGATATGTATTCTCTTGCAGAACCATTTATAAAGCCCACTCTGACCACCGTGCCCTCAAGTAATGTTACAGAAGGAGACCAAATACAATTTGAATGCTCAACTGTAGTAGTTCGAATGCATGACATTGAAATCATCCTCCAGAAAAACAAATCAATACTGAACAGTGTACAAGATAAGAAACTTCTGAGATACTCCACAGTAGCTACTCTAGAGGACAGTGGTGAATACCTGTGTAAGGTGGAGCAAGGGGGAGCATCTAAAACCACCAAACTGAATGTTGTCGTGTCAGGTAAAACCTCTGTTCATCTTAGATTTTACTCAGTGTATTGGTATTTAAATTAAAATTTGGTAGAACTCAAGATCCAAGTGTAACCTCCAGATCTAAGTGTAAATTTTCTCTAAGTTAAAGGCTATTTGGATTTTAGATTCTGATTTTTTCCTACCAATACTCCCCAACTAAAATAATGTCCTCAAATAACACATGAAAAGTGGTTTCAAGTGGTTGCTGAGTTTCTGTTTTCCCTGAAAATATAATAATATTAAAATAACATGGTTTTTTCATTCCCAGATTATAAACTTTCAGTATGTCCTTCATTCTGTATATGTCGAGATAAGCAGTCCTGTTCTTTCAGGCTCAATTGGAATGAATTAGTTCTCTTTTTATCTTGCAGAGTTATTTCCCAAGCCAACACTGGTTGCTTCTATGACTAAGCTGGATAAGAATAAAGAATTAATTTTGAATTGCAGCATTAATGGTTTTCAGAAAGCTAACTTCTCTATCATACGGAAAAACGCCAATGGAGACATCCCACTGAAAAATTCTCAAACCTTAAAAATGAGAGTTAATGTGAATGATACTGGATCTTATACCTGTAAAGCTGAAGTAAAAGGAATAGTCAAGGAGAGCAAACCTGTAAGGATAAATGTTTATGGTGAGTTGATACAGAGGCTTAGAACCCAATGAGATGGGGGGGGATCTAAACCAGAAGCTAATAAATAAGCACATCTGTTTACAGAATCGGCCTCTAGTCCATGAACTAGCAGGGTGTCTCTTAGTTCTTGCAATATTAATTTCTGTGAGATGCGCTTGTCATCTTCAGCTGTAGAGGATTTGGTGTGTCATGATCTAATCAAGTCAGACTTTTCCAGGGCTGGCCCTGGGAGAAGGGAGTTGGCATGGCTTCCTGCTGCTCCCTTGGTTCTGCTGGGTGCCAGATAAATTCATTCATTACCATTTGCAGGAGCCAGAACTGTTGTGCAAATCTTTCACTCATCCATTTGACCTGAAACTCTGACAGTGTCTGCCTTGGATCCCTCTCCCTGACTCTGCAGGCAGAAACCAGGAGAACCAGAGGTCATCTGGTTAGCTCTGCTCCAGAAAAGCTGATTATTAGCACTCTAGTTCCCTTCCCTCTTATGGAACAATCTCAGGTGGTTCTCCAGTCTGTGAAGGGGATTAACTGGGTTGTGACTCCCTGTGGAACAGAGGGCCCTAATTAGGTGCTGCACGATCCATCTCAGGTCATACATGCAATGTGACACTTAGTCCTTGGGTCAGAATTAGTTCTGGAGTTTGGATGATCCACAGCTGTGTCACTCAGCCTTTGTTTTCCTTCATATTCCCCCTGCATGCTATTTGATTCAAAGTCACATGTTCTACTACCTACATTATTGATTTGGTCAAGTCCCCCCATTTCTATTCTATCGACGAGGAAGAGCTTCCCAAACTAGCGTGTGCAAACTAGATAAATATCGTGCATTTAAACACTTTCTATAAAATAATATCGTGTCTTTTGGCCTTATGCAGTGCAATTTTCAACAGTTTTTTTCTTTTATTCCCCTTTTAGCTCCAGTCTCCAAGCCAACTCTTTCCGTCGCCGGCGGTTTGCCGGAGGTGGTGCTGGGGAAGCCTCTGCAGTTGATCTGCCACTCAGTGATGGGAACACCACCAAAAACCTTCAGGTTCTACAAAGGAGATGATGTCGAGAAAATAGTCATTAATGACACATATGCTACTTTCTTGGATGAAAATATCAGACTAAATGACCAAAGAGGATACAGATGTGATGCCAGAAATAATCACTCCAGTGGTGTGAAAACCAGCGATATCCTGAACGTCACAGTAGTAGGTAAGTCTGTTCAATTCTTCTTCTTGTCTGATGTCATGTTTAGAGTTTTGAAACTTCAGCAGCAAATGATGGACTAAGCAAAATGGATGTGAAATGTTTACAGATTTTTTGCTCACTTGAATTAAAATGGTTGCTGGTCACAGCACAGTAAGTAGTTCAGGACCAGAGCAGGTCTATACTTGACCTTTCAAAAAGAAGAGGTAATTTCTCTCTACCAAGGAGTTTTCAGTTTTGTGTCCTGGCTTGAACCCAAATTGTGTTGGTGTTCAAAAGATAAACTTGTGGTTAATAGGCTGTTTCCCTCTGAGTTTTGACATTCAGTTGTGTATGATTTGAGCAGATACATCCAGAATTGTTGGGCTTATTCTGAGTCAGTTGGATTATTGCACAGTGAAGGATGTGCTCCCTGTTCACTGAGCTCCCAAAAAGGGCTTTTAATACAGTACTTGCACTCACCCAGACTCACCTTAAGTTCGCCAGTTCCACCATTAACTAACTCTAGAGAGAAGCTGAGTGATAAAAGCTCTAAAGAGGTTTATCCAGGGAGATTTAAAGTCAAGATGGTTTGAAATAACAAGATACAAATATACAAACACAAAGCATAATCTTAATCCATTGACAAGCGGGTATTTCTCTGCTGGAACTAGTGTATCCCAGCTGTTAGAGCTGCGGTTCAGGATTTATTGTGGCACTGTTTGGAAGTTCTGAATAGTCATGTTTTAGTGCCTGGTGAACCAATCTTCCACAGTCTACCACTGCTGAGGTGGTGGCTTTGAATTCTCTGTATTCTGTCCTTTCTGTCTGAAGAAGCACTTATGTTTTCCAGAGCAATCCTCTCTGTCATAGGCTCAGTCACAGGAACCCATCCATGTCTTATATCTAAATCTGCTCCCTAATACAAAAAGAACTTTCATGATCAGCATCTTTTCATATCATATCTGGTTTCTCCTTCTGCTTCTGTACCAGTGTTGCCTTAATGATTCCTTCTTTACATCTGCCTTGTGTTATCCATGACACTGCCCCAAACACATTTACAATATTTTCAGAGAAATGTTCTGTAGGGATTTTAGCAAAGCAGATGCTTCATATGCCAAACATTTTGCAAAGCTGCTGACATTCTACAAGCCTTGAATCACAGAATATGTGTCCGTTTTTTCCCCATGTAGTTACAAGGGCTGATGCTCATCTGCTCCTACACTGTTTTTGTATATGCTAAAATACTTAATTTGTAAACTAGCAAACCTAAAAACTGTATTTTGTGTATGCATATTCTTACAATTTGTGCAAATGCAAACTAACTTCCCTCGCTTTTGTGTTTGCCATATTCTGTAACCATTGGAATTTGGGACTGGCTTATGCCCTTGGAGAACTCGATCCATTATCTGCTGATACCGACTGTTGTATATTAAAGGGTACAAGAGTACAGTTACCACACAGCATAAAATAACACAGCTCTAGATAACTATGAAAACATAGCTACATAAACTGGACCATCATTATTTACACTATGGAACAACTGAGTGTATTATTTCTGGAAATGAAATAATTTGTAGGCTGGGGCTGGAGTGGCATCCAAAGGATTTTAAGGAAAGTGGCTGACTGACCTCTGTGGAATGGATATAATTTCCTCCTGTGTCTGCTTTGTTTCTTTGTCATGCCCTCTCTATTTCTGGGTGTATAAAAATATTTACTAGAGGATGATGTCTTTCAGAGAGTGTTTGGGAAGATTAATACTGTGCATTCAGTCTCTGTTTAACTAAGCATTAAATCAAGCATTTCTACAGCACAATATTTTAGCATCAAAGTTATTCCAAATAGTGCTAATATTTGCTTTCTTTCTGCCTTCCTCTGTAGTGCCAGTCAGAGATGCCAGCTTGGGCAGTGTTCCATATGGAGAAGTGGAAGATGGCAGTGAGATTGCTTTTCTCTGCTCTGTGAAAGAAGGGTCTTTGCCAATCCTGTTCAGGTTTTTTAAAAAAACTGATAATGAGGTTCTTCTGTTTGAAAAAATTGAACATAGAGACAGAGCCATGTGGCACAAGGAAACAATGAAGAGGCAGGACACGGGGACATATTATTGCGTGGCCTCGAACCGAGCCAACGTGGACGTGAGGAGCCAGCCCATAACCATCAGTGGTGAGTCATTGAACTGCCCACCGTGTCCTCATGATAGGTGAGGTCATCTCATTTGGGATGTTCCTAAGTGTAACTCCCTTATTTGCTTTTGTTCCACCACTGTCAGAAGTTGAACAGAGAGGTCCCTTTATAAACAGAGATTGTCCAACTTACAGAGAAAAGTTTAGGGGATGCTCAAAAGCCAAAGGAGCCAGATGCAAACTGAAACCAACCTGTTGTTGTGCTGAGGTTTTGGTCACAAAGGAGAGGCTCACTAGTGAACTTTGCATGCAAGACCCCTCAGAGTTCTTCCCTGGGGTGTAAGAAGGCTGATTTGTAGTAAAATGAAAGGTCAGGAACTGCAGAATTTGGTAGTGTTGGCCTATCACAGTAAATACTCTCTTAAACATGTTTTTCTTATTTCCAGTCATCTTGGCAGCTTGGAAGAAAGGAGTCGTTGCTGCATTGGTCCTGATAACCATTGCAGGAGCGGGAGCACTCGCCTTGTGGTGGTTTTTGCGTAAGAAGAAAAAGGGTAAGGAATGGTTCCCTTCTCTTTGTTTGGCGACAAATGTTTTCCAGTTAAACCTGCATTTGTGTCAGAAGCAAAGGGTTGCAGGGGTGAGGCTTCAGAGATGACTGAACATAATTTAAAAAAAACCTAAAAATCTGCTTAGAAATGCCAGGTGACCCAAACTAAGCTGCAAATGTGCTGAGGCTTTCCAAGTATATTGGGCAGATGCAGTCCTAGGTCTGGAATTCAGCCCTGTGCAATGAAGAGGCAGACAGGGCCTGAGGAGGTTTTTGATCCCTCATAGAGCTATAACAATTTGATTTGGAGTCCCAGCTCAGGTGTAATTGAGGTGCCTCTCTAGTCCTTATGAAATAAATTTAGATTATTAGGTTGTGGGATTGTTTCTTTTTCCTTCCCACACTGTAATATGATTTTGTTTAGGGATTTAACTTTTAAGATATTTTTTCAGATCCTGTTCTTTCAGAATACAAGTAAATCTGGTTTATCCTGTGATATGCAGTACATTGCAAATTATTTGGGAAAATTTGAAGCATCTGGATGTCCCAGACTGCTTAAATTGGCCAAGGTAAAATCTGGGGTTTAGGATCTTAGGTTCTCTGAAGGAGACATTGAAGGGACCTTGGAGATAAACAGGACATAATGTGTGAGGTAGTTAATTTTGTGATCGCCAGGAGAAATTATTCACACATGAGTAAATAATTGCTATATTTTTGTTTTGATCTTTACTTTTAAATTCTTTACTTGTGCAATCTACTAATAGATGCCTTTTTTTTTTCCTCTGTCAAGCTAAAGGACCATCCATGGAGATGTCTGGGTAAGATGTCTTACTGTCTTGGTTTCGGCTGGGATAATTTTCTTCTTAGTAGCTGGTACAGTGCTGAGTTTTGGATTTACTGTGAGAATAATGTTGATAACACTGATGTTTTAGTTGCTAGTGCTTACTTTAACCCAAGGACGTTTCAGTTTCCCATGCTCTGCCCATGAGCAGGTGCACAAGCAGCCAGGAGGGAGCATGGCCAGGACTGTTGACCCAAACTGGCCAAAGGGACATTCCACACCATAGAGCATCATGGCCAGTGTAGAAACTGGGGGGAATTGTCTGGGAGACACTGATCAGTGCTGGAGGGTGGGCTGGGCATCGGGCACAGGGTGGTCAGCAATTGTAGTGGGCATCACTTGTTTCTCTTGCGTTTTATTCCTCTCTCTCTTCCTTTATTATTATTGTGGATATTGTTGTTGTTATTATTATATTTTACTTTATTTCAATCATTAAACTGTTCTTATCTCAACCCATGGGTTTTACCTTTTTCCAGTCCTCTTCCCCATCCCACTGGGGGTGGGGTGGGTTGGGGCAGAATGAGTGAGGTGTTGTGTGGTGCTTAGCTGCCAGTGAGGTGCTGTGTGGTGCTTAGTTGCCAGCTGGGGTTAAACCATGACAGTCCTTTTTGAAGTCCAGAGTGGGACTCAGAGTTAAAACCAGATCTGACCAGTGCACGTTGAAACAAATTTGTTACAAGCATTCATCAGAGTTTAATAGCCAGTTACCATGATGTTGATTTATTTGCTCTTAGAGTTGTGCTTGTTCTCGGAGCTGTATCCGAACACCTCACTTGCACTTACAGGGAACACTGTACTCCCTGTTGTGTTTCTTGCCATTGGGGCCTGGGCTGAGGTTATTGTTTCGTTCTGCTTTGTAACACTAATTTATGATACCATGGAATCGCTGGTCATCACTCACCTGATCGTGTCCTCAGCGCCACCGTCACCTGTGTGCTGGGGAGACACCTATTGGGAATTATCCATAATTACACTTTTCCCTTTCTCCTCGGAGAGCCAGTCTGTGGACACAGCTTCCCACAGCTTCCCTTTCTTCTCCAGGCTAATTACAAAAGCATTTGAGAATTGTGAAGATTTTGAATCGACTTGGGGTGTTGGAACCAGTGTGGTCCTATTGGTAGGAACCAGCATGTGGTTCAGGTCTGTTTAGGGTTAAGCAATTATTTGCAGCTACTCCAACCCCTGTGACAGGCACTGGGCTGCTCCAACTCCCACAACAATCATAGTGGCCACGACAGACACTGTGGCTACTCAGCCCCTGGCTACTCAAAGCCTGTGAGTACTCACCCACTGATGGGTGATGCAGCTGAATCAGAGGACCAACCCCTGTGTGTGCCAGTTGCCCCTATTCCCAAGGAGAAATGGGCAGGAAAGACAGCTTGTTTAATAAAGGAGGACGAACCAAGGAACAGGAAGAAGAGGCAGAACAAGAAGCAATCCCTCAATCCATATCTCTGAGTGAGCTGTGGGATATGCAGAAAGATTTCAACCGTCATCCAGGTGAGCACATTATTCCCTGGCTGCTCTGATGCTGGGATAATGGAACTGTTAGGGATAATGGTGTGGAATTAGAGGGTAGGGAAGCCAAGCAGCTGGGATCATTTTCTAGGGAAAGGTGCACTGACGAGGTGATTGGAAGAGCAACACAAGTCCTCAGCCTCTGGAGGCAACTCTTGTCAAGTGTGAAGGAAAGGTATCCCTTCAAGGAAGATGTTCTGTGTCACCCAGGCAAGTGGACCATGATGGAGAGAGGTACCCAGTACCTGAGGGAATTACAGATAATTTATTGTGACCCAAACAACACAGGGTTACTCAGAGATCCAGGTGAAGTCTGATGTGCACAAACCATGTGTCAGAAACTTGTCCAGAGAGCACCATTGTCATACACCAACTCACTGGCAGTGATGGCCTGGAGAGACAAAGAGGCACCACTGGTGGATGAAGTGGCTTCACCAACCCAGCAGCACAGAGAAAATCTCTCTTCCTCCCTTGTCTCTGCTGTGGAGAAGCTGGTTGAGCAACTCAAAGCGGGTAGATTCTACTCCCACATGCACAGGCCAGTATTTCAGCTATTAACAGTAAGTGTCCTTTTGCTCCAGAGAGAGAATGCAGAGGGTTCACACCACAGGGGACCCTGTGGTTTTACCTGTGAGGACCCCAGAGAGGACTTGAGGAAGTGGGATGGAAATTCTACCTGGGACCCTAGAGGGTACATGGATTGCAAGGGAAAATCACAAAGGGGGCTCTTCCAGGGAAGTTGCTGCTCTGGTCTGCAATGGGCAGTTCCTCAGAGTGGAAGGATCTTACTCCTGACTCTATGGAAGGGAATTCTAACCCGTTTTTACAAGAAGCAAATGGATAATCCTATGACCAGGACTAGAGGGGCTCTGCCTCCACCAGGTGGAGAAGAGGGACAGCCTTGTTTACTGGAGCGTGTGGATCAGATGCCTGGAACATCAGCCCCCCGGGAGTATAAGGCTCTAGCAGGTACTGGTGCACAGTGTGTGCCCTGATGCCATCAGGCTGTCCAGGGGCAGAACCCAGTTGTATTTCTGGAGAGGGATCCCAACAGACTGTACTGGGGGCTGAAATCAGCCTGACTGGGAACGTGTGGCAGAAAGCTCCCATTTGAGTAGCCCAGAGGCTCCAGGGGCTTTAACTGTCTCGGGAGAGGGGATTTCAAGGAGCCATAGACTCTTATGTGGTGGAGTGGTGGGCTTTCAGTACAGCAGCCTTGGAGACAGAGGAAATGAAGTACCTCCCCTGTCCTGTGTCTCAGAGGACCCTCCTGTTGTGGGGCTGCTGAAGGTTGAAGGACAGCAGGTGCTGAGCCCTGTGACAACGACGCACCCGGGCGGTGCTGTCGCTGCTCGGGGACTGGCTGGGCATCACTTGTTTTTCTTGGGTTTTATTCCTCTCTCTCTCTGTCCTTTTCATTGCTATTATTATTATTAACTTTATTTCAGTTATTAAACTGTTCTTATCTCAGCCCATGGGTTTTACCTTTTTCCAGTCCTCCTCCCCATCCCACAGGCAGGGGAGTGGAGTGAGGTGTGATACTGAGCTGCCATCTGGGATTAAACCACGACCCGTTATGATAATGATGAAGTATTTCTGTTTAAAGGCCTTCCTCCATATGAGTGCAGTTCATTATGGCACACACCTGCAGACAATAGATGGTTCTGCTTCATGTACCACCTGCTTACACAACAACAGGATGAGGAAATACTCTAAAAATAGAAAAAAAGGCCAGCTAAGTGAAAAAGGAGAATGTCAGGCCTGTGTTGGAATGCATTTAGACATGGAATGGATTGAAAATACAGAGGTTTAAAGAAGAATAATGCAATAGGGAACATTTTTTGCCTTAAATTTGGTTGGTGCTTCTCTTAAAGACAAAGGCAAATTTTCATTAGCTTCAGTAGTTAAAAATACATGGCAGTCAGCATAGATAGTGACTGATCTTTGCACAGAATCATGTTATTGACTGATTTGGGATAATTACATCAACTTTTATTGGTTTGTTTTTCAGTTCAGCCTTGGCTGCAAACTTGACAAGTGAAAAACTGGCAAGACAGCCCAATGATGGAGACTATTATTCAGGTAGGACATTTTGCTGTAAGACTGCTAATAAATTGGGTAAATTAATCATTTTTTGAAAGTTTTGGACTTGCATAGTTGTTGTTTGGATAAGGCCCAATTTTTAGGGGAATACAGAGGGATACCAATAACATTCTCCGAAGTATCTTCTGTCATTTTGTCTTTGTACAGTTTTTATGAGCACGTCTCACACAAAGATTGGTTTATAACTCTGCTCAGACACTTCTCCCAGGCAATCAGTTGACAGTATTACAGATGGAGAAATCATGGTAAAAGAAAATTACTTTCTGGGTTTGACACAGCTGCAAGAAAATTATTGCAGAGAGGAAAATTGGAGTTGTGGCACATGGTCCTGTGATGTGGCCACAGGACAGAGGTGTTAACTTGCCATGACTGGGCACATTTCATTCCAGGATCTCAAAATTCCCACTTTACCAAAATAGGTGGAGATGTTGTTTAGAGTATTGGGCATAAACAAAATTACCCCTTGGGTGCTTTTTAGCTGATTATTTAAAAAGCCACATTCTTCCCACCTGTGTTACTTGAATGTCTTAGGTGTGAAACCAAAAGTAGGATGTCTCATATAAAAATACAGATAATGACAATAGGAATTGCAGCTGTGTAACTCCTTTATTTAGTTGGCCTCAATAAACATTTTGTCAGCTCAACTTTGGCTTTAATATTTTAGGATCAGGTTACATTGAAGATAGTGAAAATCACATGAAATCAACAGATGAGAATAAAGGTAATTTCATACTTAAACAATAGATTTTTAAACTATTTTATAACTGAAAGTCATGATGTTTTCTAATGGTAGCAACAAGGATTGGATATGTCCAGCCCTTTCCTTTTTCTCTTTGATAGTGGGGAAGATTTTCCTTTGCTGAGCTCAGTTCTTTTTCTTATGCACAAAATGACACTGATAGGACCCACTTGCCAACTTGCATTATGAAGTGTAATTAGCTGTGCTGGATTGGTATAAAAATACAACTTAGACTCAAAATTGTAAGTTCTATATAACAAATATTTAGATATTTTCTACAGATTTCTGCTTCTTTTACTTCTCTGTCCTTTCTTCGTTTTGGTTGACCTCGAAATACTTAAGCGTTAAATCTAAAAATAAACTGTGAAATCTGAATAAAATAATCTGCCAAGTCAGTTCTGCAGGATGCCAGTCTGGATGACTGTCATGGTTTCTTCCAACTTTTACAGAAATCTGGTGGAAAACCATCTCCACCCTAAGAAAAAGCCAGAGTAGAAGGCAGCAGCTGTTTCTTGTGTTTGTTGTATCCAGGTAGCCAGTACTCGTCAGGCAGCAGCCTTAGTAGATCCAGCTTTCTGTGGGCATTGTGGCAGAGAAGCATCTTGAGGAGGAAGATGAGTTGCATTCTAGATGTTCTATGGAGAGCTTGGAAGAAAATGTAGGAGGAAAAAAGAAAAGCAGAAATTTGGAGAATGAGAGGTGATGAGGAAGGCCAGGAAAGACTTAAAGATGGGTTTAAATGTGAGGAAAGCAGATAATGGGAAGTGTCCTGCCACAGCCACAGAAAACAAGGAGAAAGTAAGAGCAGGGAGAGAAATAAAGAGGAGCTGGAGGAGGAATATGGGAGAATCTGAGATAATTCCTTGTTCCATTTGTGTTGTGACACTTTTGAAGGTGTTACATTGAAAGTAAGAGTTTTAGGCGCAATTTGCACGTCCCCCAGTTTCAGAAATCTGCCTTTAGCTCATCTACTGCCCTTTGGATTGGGATGACCCTTAGGAATGGATTGGCCTTAAAACTCTTAGCAGAGTAACTCACATCTGTAAGTAGGGCCTGATCCTGCACCTACCAAAGTCAGTGAGGACTTGTCCATTAATTCCAGTGGCAGCAGGATCAGGCCCACAGCTCAAACAAAGCATGCAGTCCTACAAAGAAACATCTTCTTGATATTTTTGGGGCAGGACCTGACCTTGAGAGTGCTGAGGTGGAGTACACTGAAGTTGAAGTATCAACGCTTGATCCTCACAGAGGTAATAAACTGTCCAAACCTCTTTGGTTTATGTTTGGGAGCAGCTCTGGGAATGTTGCTCCTTCCTGGCACTGGTCTGATATTGGCACCTGGGAATGTCAGAGCAGGTTGTGCTTTGTGTGTGTGACAGTTTCCTGCCAGTGGCTCCTTAACCCAGCTGATGATGCCAACCATGGTGCTGTTCCTGCAGCCCTCCTGCCCCTGGGATCCCCCCATTCCCACCCACGGGAGGTCTGTGTGGAGCTGTGGCTCTGAGCAGAAGGCAGCCTGCTGTGAATATCCCTGTCATAGAGCCCAGGTTCACTGAGAGCCAAGTGAGGTTAGCCCCAGATAATGGAGGGAACAGAGAGCAGTGGAATTTCCTCCTTTATAAAGGAACTGGTTGAAGGGTCAAAGCTGTGATTCACTTGTGATAGAGAAGGAAGAGAGTCCAGTACAGATTTAGTCTCTCAGTCTGGAGAGGCCTGGAGACCATCCTGAATTTTGTGTCCCCTTAAACAGAGAAATGAGGATATTAATGCCCAAATAACTTGGTCCTCCTCCCTGCAGTTCTGTGGTTACAGTAACCACAGCTCAGGTACATGTCTCTGCAACCTTGAAGGAGAAATGTCCAAGTAAATTTATTCCCAACACCCAAATGCACACTGCAATCATTCTGTGTCATCTGGAGAACTCTGATACCGTCATGGCCTTGTGTTGAAAGCTGTTAAACCTCAAAATTCCCAGTAGCTGGGAGGGAATAAGCCCCACGAGACAGGTTTATGCTCTGCTCCAGCTTCTTTGCTTCAGCTGAACGAGAAGCAGACTGAGGAAGAAACACATGAATTTCCTTTTTCCTGGTAGGAAGGACTAGTCACTGATTTCAGGGACCAAAGACATGATTGTTTAGTTGGTAAAACAGATGTTTGGGCAAAAGTGCTCACCCTTCAAGCTGTCCCCGAACAGCCAGTCCTCCTCTCCTTTCTCTCACTTCCTGGCATCATTCATCACAGAGTTTTCCTTGTGTCCTAAGCATGCTATTTATCCACCTCTGCTAAATTCTGCTCTGAAGAACCATAGTTGTTGGACTCTTTCAGAATAGGGCTAATAATTAGTTGTTCCAGCTGTGTTAGAATGTGCACTACACAATACAGTGGTGTAGAATGGGAAGATACAATGGTGCATGATTATTTAAATTAAAAGCCCTGTTAAATGCAAGATCAGCATCTCTAAGAGTAGACTTTTGCTCCCATTATTTGTATATAACACTATTCCTGTATATCAGACTGAGTAATAAGATAGTATCTGTGCTCTGTAGACTGAACACTATTAAACCACAAAATAATATTTAATATACCGTGTAAATGAGATCAGATTATTTTAACAGAACACTGATTGATTCTGTAAAACTGAACCGTGCTTCAGGTATACAGAGATGTGATAATAGTTCCCTAATCGATTTGCTTTGTTGCCCCAGGGCACAGTTAAATGCTTCCCAAATGAATGCTTTGGTTATGTAAATGGCAACTGCACTGCAAGTATTTAATGTGTTAATCTTTGAGAGCATCTCGAGGATGCTGCTTGAATAGAAGGAGCTGTATGAAGCCATGTTAATCCTTTCAACTCTGCACTGCCTATCACAATGAAAACAGGATGAGATTTATTCTTGGGAAAAGAGAAACAAAGCCAAGTTTCTTAATATTCCCTTGTAATAATCGTGTACACCCACAGAGAGAATTTGGCCACGGGACTGCCACTGATATTTCTGCTACGTTGGTGTTATTGTAAAGTTTTGTTTCAAAGCATAATATTCTTTCATGTCTGTCTGTGGGTATGACCAGCCCTTCCTAGGGAACAGACCTTTCAGATTATCCCCTTGCTCCAAACCTCTGTTACACCCCTTTTTGGTTCCTCCTATTTTCTGGATGAAGACAAAGCAAATCACACCTTTTCTCTGGGCACACATATCCAGCAGATACACAGAGCATCTGATCCCTTCAGCCTTTTGAGGAACTCCAGATTTCTTTGATCTCTCAGGACCAGCCTCAAATTAATTTATCTCCCAATCATTTGTTCCTCCTGGAACTGTTGTCCATGTCAGTACTAATGTTCATCTCAGGAGCAGGAGAATCATATTTTGTGTATTGTGAAAGACTACTGCAATTAATGCTGCAGTATCTAAGCTGTAACTCCAGCCTTTATATCACTTTTGGGAAGCAGGAACGATTGAATGTCACCTCAAAACAAGTTTAAATTATTGTAGAAGGATGTATATATTGTCTTTGTCAGTAGAGAATTGCTTACATTTGAAACCACTGGTTTCACCCTGGTTTTCCAGTCATGTCTGCACTAGCTGGTCATTTCTGGAATACTTTTTAACACAGTGTAATGGTGAATAGGTTAATGCACCAAGAACTTCATATGCACTGTGCTTCTGCAGGATCAAAAACCAGGGTTCATTACAGTGTTACTGGCAGGGAGTGGTCCTGTCACATGCTAGAAGTAAAATTTCACTGCTTTATTTTAGAACTTCCATGTGGGAATAACTTGATACCTGCTTTTTGAAGTAGGAGTGAAAAGGCAAGAGAAATAGGAGGTAGAGCTGGGGCTACACAGTCCAGCTCTTATTTGGGATAGACAGAGTGGAATGATAATTTGATATTTAAAGAGGTGGTAATTCTAAGGAATGATTACATTGAATACTTATGGAGATTATATGCTTGACAAAAATATAGTGCTTGTCTTCTCTAAAGCTTAATTGTGCAAATAGATGGAAAGGTGATTTAGACCCCTTATTATTAATCTGAGCAAAAACAAAGGCTGGGGCTAAAGTAAGGTTAGGAAATATCCCTGAAGTGAGAAGGGAGAACCCTCTAATCATGGCTGAGTTAGAACATGCTCCTTCTTTGACTTTTATATCTGGTTAGTTATCTGCAGGGTGGCAACATTATAAAGCTGGTGGGAACAAAATGTCAAATCGTCCAAGTAATTTCTCCTGGCACATTTTTTCAGTGCTGAGACGACTTTTGGAAGATTAACAAAGGAAATAACATGGGCAGTGGCATTATATCACAATTCAATTAAAAGGGTCTGGAAAAAAAAAAAGCAAGCTAAGGAAATACCTCCAACCAAATCTTTCCACAGAGTCAATAGGGGTAGATTTAGGACTGTAATCTGCTAAAAAAGAGTCCCAAACAAAATTAAATACCTCTTATTAAAATTCTGACAAGATTACTCCTTACTTCACTGCAAATGAACTGATCATTTAAGCAGTAGCCCATAAGCAGATGAAATGTGCCTGAAGGTCTTCAGATTATTTTGCAAAGAAGGTTCTTGCCAAAGCTGAGTTTGAAAGCTGTGATTAAACACTTGGGGAAGTGTAACTCCTCCTGGTATTTGAATTAACAGCAGCTTTGCAACTCAACTCTGACGTGTGAGCTCCCAGCGTTTAAAGGATGCTGAACAGAATTTAAAAAAAAATGGAACTAGCTTTGGGAAATCAGAATGTGGTGCCAGAGACACTTGGGTTCTTCAGAGCTGTTACTGTTCTTGCAGAACAGTAACAGTCCTGACTCTGACTGCAGGTCGTTATCTGAATTCTTTAAGTGTTGGGATGTTTTTTAATAGCTGAAGTACAGGATTCTCTGTCCAGAAATGTGAATTTTCTTTCCAGTTTCTTGCAGAGAGAGAACAACCGCTTTTGTTTTTCTTTAACTGGAAAAAAATCTAACCTCTTGGTTTGTTGAAGGTCCATAGAAATTGGAGGTGATATAGATAGAATTCAGAGGCTTTCTAAGAGATTCAGTTTAACTGAAATGAATGAGTGTTTCTGAAACACTTTTAGATCTATGAACAGCAAGCTACTGGACCCTGCCAGCGTAGGCCTTTATAGAAAATGAAGAAAGTTGGTTTTAAATGCACTTTTGTTGCCCAGGGATTTTTAAACTACAGCCATGCAATAAATCCAGGAAATTGTTCTAATCTCCTGCTCGCCTGCAGTTTCTGCTGACCAGAGAGAAACTGAGCTCTTGCTGTTTTCAGGCCTTCAGGGCCTCTGCCCCTTCCCTGTGTGTGTCTCTAGTTTGGTATCAAACCCTGTGGATAAGTTCTCACAGATGTCAGGAAAAAAGGAAGAGCTTCTTGCTTTCCTTCTCACCCAAGAGCAGAGTTTTATTTGTCAACCCAAGGGTCTGGAAAGACTAACATTGCACTCGTACCCCAGCTGTGTCCTTAGAGGCACAAACCTCTGTCTGCTTTTTGTCTTTACTTCCATTCTTTCCACCAGCCTTGTGAGCCTTCATTCCTGCTGTGTCCATCTGATCTCAGTGCTCTGGTGGAAGAGCCCTCCATGCTGAGGGGAGACTTTTCCCAGATAACCTTAAATAGAAGCTGTGCAGTGTGAAATCTGAAAATACCCTTCTGAGACATTTCACAAACAGCAATTTAGATGTGGGGTTTTTTTTGTGCCCATAAGACTTAATCAGGCTAGTTGCCAAAAAGGGGGTGTAGTTCATCTTCCAAATGATAGATCACCTCAGGTCTTGGATCCTGAAATCCTTAGAAAAACTTGAAGCAGCTCTTCAAAGGGATCCAGGGAAACCGTTCTCTAGTGGTAGATGTCTCTGTAAAATTAAAGCAGTATCGATTTGAGTTCAAAGGAGATTATTAAAATGTTAAATTTAGAAGGGGAAGCAGATTTTTATCATCACTTTTATATAGAGGGAGAGACATCTCCCTCTCAGTTCCTTGCAGGCTGGGTTTGGGGAGGGAGTGTACTTGCTTTTTCACAGACTCCACAGGCTCGTTGCTGCTTGTGTAACTTCCTCTGAAAGTAAAACAGTGTGTTCTGTTGGTTTAAGGAGCTTTTCATAAGGCAAATAATAAGAAAAAATAAGAAAGAAAAAAAGAAAATAAATTGATTCTGTGCCAATACATTTTCCAGCTCCTGTACAGAAGGGGACTGAAACAGTTTATAGTGAAATCAGAAAAGCTAATAATGGTAAGTAAGCTAGTGAAAAATAAAACACTTAAAGGAAGCATTTGTGAGGAGATTAGGGATAAATTTGTGACTGAATATTTTCCAAGACAATATTTAGCCTGAATATTTAGAAGATAAAGTACCATAAAAAAAGAGATGCAAGTCACACAGGAACATACTGAAGTGCAGCTACAAAATCACAGGTGTTGATAGATTGTATAACACCTTCATGGTTCCTCATAAATCAATGATGCTTAATGCAGTGGGATTAATATTTGTAACATCTACTTCATCAGCCCATCTGTTTTGTACCTGCTCAGCATTTGGGCCCTACCTCTGGATCTGAATTAGAGCTGAATCCCCAACCCATTAGGGATTAGGGTGATATATTGTGTTATCTCCAAGTGCTCATGAGCAACACTTTGTCTCTTAATTGAGCATGTTTGTCATGTGTTATTAAATAACCATCAAAAATAGCCATCAAAAACTGTCTTAGACTGTAAGTGCCAGCCACTCTGCCCTGCCACCTCCACTAACCCAGCCTTGTGTGAGGGGGCATTACCAGCTTACTGGCAATTACTGACTATAAATGTTGTGGCAGTCATGAGCTCAGAGGCAGTAGGTTAAAAGCATTTCTTCATAGTTTGTCAAAGACTGAATCAGAAAGGATTTCCTTTCCTCTCTTTGTCTTAGGAAGTCTAGATTTGTAAATATTAGGGCTGCAAAACTGTTCACATCTTGTCCCCATCCATGTTACCCAGTGGCTTTTCTGTGTACCATTTTTAATTTTTGACTGTTGTGTTTTAATTTTCTATTTTTTTTTCTATTTTATAAGGGATTTCCCACCTGCTCTGACACAGAATTCTGTCTCTAGGGAATCTTTCATGTGAGGGTCTCCAAGTACTTTAGAAAACATTACTTAATTTTCCCTTGCGAGGAGATACACGGCAATTTTTATCTCCATTTTACAGCTGAATAAACAGAGAGATTAGGTCATTCATTTAAGGGAATGTGTTTAGAGAGTGACAGCACTGGGAACAGAGTTTCAGAATCCTTGGTGCTGAGCCTGTGTGCTGTACTCATTTTTCACAGTGAAAATCCAAATACCCTTCACACTAAGGTGGGACGAGGCCCTTCGTGCAGGATCACCTGGCAGCACCATGAGAAAAAAAAACACAGTTTATTTTAGGGCTGAACCCAAAGGCCACAAATATTCTGGAACAGTGTGAACTGGACCTGTAACAAGCTGCAGAAAGCTGCTGCATAAACCCCCTCCTGCCCTGCCCAGGTGTGAAGGGGATTATCACACCTCTCACCATCCCTGGTTTTGACACAACAGAAGGTGTTATGTCCTAGAAGGGTGTTTTGTGAACTGTGCTGTTAAACTCCAGGTAGGTACAGCAGAGCTGTAATTCAAAGCACTTAAAAGGCTATAATACCATAAAGTGGGAACTGCAATAAAGTGAGATTATGATTGAAAGGCTGAGCTGAATTAGCCAAATCATCCTCAAGCACCCCTTAATCTTGCGGTACACCTGCTCTTTTATGCATAACATTCTACAGTTTCAGTTATTCTTGGAAACACAGGACCAGTTTATTGTTTTAATCCCGTCTGTTTTTCCTGACTGATCCACAGGAAAAGTGTTCCAGTGAGATAAGCAGTGCATCCCAGAGCAGGGCAGTGCTCTGGACAGCCACCTTACAGTTCATGTAACATTAACTTGGACTGGTGATAGGCTGTGTGATTGTGAGGTGGCAAAGGATGAATGCAGTGGAGAATCCCTGGGAAATAGCTCTGTTCTTCAGAAGTACTTTAATTTATATTAATATGAGTATGTTAAATGCTGGTTGTGAAAGATGTTGAACATTACTGCTGGGGGCAGAAGTTGGTTTACCATTCTGATCTTCACCGTGTTTGACTGTTCTTTGAGATTTTGAGCAAATGCCCACAAGTACAATCTATTTCAGGAAGTCAATGGATCAGACAAACGTGTCCTCTGGGGAGATTACAGGAGTTTGGGAATTGGTGTCAGCCACACTGTTTGGCAGATTTAACACCTAAGGCCTCTGTAACATTTTATTGTTATTTGTTTGTAGGTAACTATTGTGGTTTGGGGTTTTTTAATTAGAATTTAGTGCTTCATAGGCAACCTTAAGGGGTTGTGTGTGCATTCCAGAAATTGTGGCCACTAGAGAGAGAGCTGAAGCACTGTCAGTAGTTGTTATGTCTGATGCAATTCTCTGTGACTGAGCTAAAACATTTCCCCTCTTCATTTTTTCTGGCAGCTCTCCCTGCTGTCCCCAGTAAGGCAGATGCCACATCAGTAACAAACTCTTGTATTTTGAGTTCCATAGCTATTGCTTGTCCTTATCCCAATTCATGAATCCATGGTGCAGGTAATGCTGAGTATCTGTCATTATTCCTTTTCTTTTTATTCTCCTGCTGCTGGCTGTGTTGTCTCCCATTACTCTCTCTGCTGTGCTTTCCTTGTTCTGAGTGCCAGGCCTAAGGAGGTGGTTTTACATTAGAGATTAGACAGAAACAAACTGTCAAATGCACATTTCAAATCCCGCAAGACCTGCACATGGTTAACTGCAGTTAACTCATTTGCAGTAGGGAAAGCAGGAAATTTGTGAAATTCAAGTCTAGTCAGGTGTATTTTGATTGAAAATCAAATAATGGTCCTGTAGATAATGTCAGTCTCTAGTTGGATGCTGGGTTTCCTCTGCTGTAATGAGAATTGAAGGAGGGTGCTGATCACTTTGTCTCAGAGATAAGAAATTGTCCTTGCACTGTTATCAAAAGGTTAGTTTAATTCAGTGGCATAGTGTTCAGGAAGTTCACCCAGGTATTGATTTAAAGCCTTTTTTAGAGCAATAGATTGTTACTTTAGTATTTTATGTAAAATACCTAGAGCAACTTCAAGCCTCAGCTTTAAATCAAACCTTACATCCCCATGGGAATTTGGGGAGTGGTCTAATGAGTGCCAGTCAGGTCAGTAACACCTTTGTCTAAAAGTCTTTTAGACTTACCAGGATAAACTAATTTCCTTAAAATACTGCTTTCTCTGGTTGCTCTATGGAAAAGCCAAAGTTTACTGTGAGCCAGGAATATCCAGCCCAGTCCCAGAGTTGTTGCTTTTTGCTCAGAAAGTCTGAGACAGTCCAAAACTTAAGCAAAATAGGCAATTGCCTAAATCAACAGCCTGCCAAGAATGACAGAATGGCTGTGGCCCTGCTGCCCATGTGCCTGTGCTGGAGTCCCAGAGGTGCAGGCTGGCAGCTCTTCCTGAGGGAGGGTCAGGACGTGTCACACACCGAGTGCAGCTCGTGGGTGGAGGCTCTTTTAGACGTGATTTATTTCCATCACACCTTTCATCTTCCCGAGGGGCAGTAGGGGCAGGAAGTCCAAGCATCTCCATACTGGTTCTTTATCTCAGCTCCAGCCCTTCCCTCTACACTGATCCCAGTTCTTGGGGTAGCACAGTTCTGTTCCTATTGCTGGGGAGATGAGAGCCAACTCCAGGTCACAGATTTCCTTACATTTTTCCAGGGCACTTCCTGTGACATACTGGGACGTTCTTGTTCCTTCAGTGAACTCTGTCTTTGCTCTGTGTCAGACCCAAAGCTCACAGAAGCTCTGCACTGCTCTGTGTGTGCACTGAATCAAGCTTATAGTGCTTATTGCAAGATAACAATTCCTAATTTCTTATTAGGAAAGTGGGAATCTAGTGAACAAAATGCAGAGCCAGCCTTTATGCTGCTAAGTGTGGAAAAGTGAACTGGTCACTTGGAAGCAGTTGCAGCAATAAGACAGGAAATTCAAAGAATCCTACAGCAACCAACAATGTACTATGGAAAAATAAATATATCCCAGTGGAAAGAGGCATGAGAAATCCCCATTGCACTCAGTGGTTTGGAACAAACTATTTGAAATCAGCTCTAGCAATCAGGAAATCTGCTCAAATACTTTCCTGCTCCTGAAGCTCAGGCTTAAAACCTCCATGCTTAGCCAGAATTTCCCACTGGGTGCCTTTTCCAGTGTAGAGAAAACTCACAGTGTCTGGGGATTCACTGTTCAGAACTCAGGCTTTATGAGCACAGGCAGTCCAAAATTATGGAAATGACTTGTCCCTTCTCCAAAATAAAAACTCTTTGGATCTTTAGGTTTCTAGACACATTCTAGACCAAAGCCTGGATCTGTGAGACACTGAGTCCAGAGCCAAATGCTCACAACAGCTCCAGCCAAAAATTAGGCAGAGCCAGATGGTTTCAGTAAGGCACAAATATGCAGGGAGCTTCTGGCCTTGCTTGAACCTCCAATGCAAAGCTGAATTTTGTGCATGCCCTGTGTCAGAGCTGCTCCCAAGCTGCCTGCCAAGATCCTCTGTTAGAAGCTACTGCTCCAGTGAAGGGCTTGGCAGAGTGTAGTGTGTGTGTTCCTGCAGTTCAGCACCTTCAGCTCATGATCTCACAGCTTGGCTTTCACCAGGGTTGGAGATGGGTTGGAGAAGGATTAAGAATTGCAGCTATTTAGGCTCATATTCTCTTCTCCATCAAGAAATGATGGAGCAAGTGGAGATGACAGTGTCTTAAATTCCTGCTATTAATGTACTCCTTTGTAAAAATGTGGCCTTTGAATTTAAAATCCTATCAACTAAAAGCAACAGCAAGGGTTTAAATCTGTCAGAAATCCACAGAAACACCCACCTTTGTTAGACTTGGGAATATTTTAGAAATCATCAATATCAGACCTTCAGCTCCGAGTCTTTTCACAAAATATGCAGCTGCTTGTTTGCCCTTCTTTGTATATGACTAGAACCCAGCATATCTCCTTTCCCTCTTTTTGGTAGTAAGGGAAAGCCAAGTATAATGAAAAATCTCTCTATTTCATCACAGTAAAATCAGTAAAAAAGTGAAAAAACCTCATTAGAAGAAAAGAAACAGAAAGGCTGTGAAAAGATTGGCACAGCAAAGAATCAGAAAAGCACTGTATCACTGTGCTTTTATTAGTGGCTCCCTGCTGGTTTACCTGGTTGGTGCCTGTTAGAAATCCCCCAGGACACAGATCCTGACATTCTTCTGGCACAGATGTGACACTCAGGGAGGAAGCCACCCTAGTTTGGATCTGGGTGACAGGTAACAAGGAGTTGGAATATCTGTCATTGTGACCCAGAAGCTTTGAGCAGCCAACATCCCGTCGTTTGAAGTTGGGAATTTACACAGAATTTCTCATTTCCTCCTTCCTGTGAGCACAATACACTGTGACAGAACTAAATGACAGCTTGTTAATACCTCACTTCATAAACCTGATGTATAGTTTTGTCTACTTAAAGCCAGGCTTTGATGTAGCACTGGGTCAAGGGTGGTTTTGTTCACTTCTGTCGGCTTTCAGGACACAAAAAGCTTTTATGTGTGTTCCACGTAATTTTTAATTTTGTTTCTTATCAAAATGGCTAAACATATATGGATCAATCTTGCCAAACATTGAGATCAATTTTGTACTGAAATTTGGTTTGTGCACTGGTACAAGGTGCTGTGGTCAGTTCAGTTTTTAATCCTTTGCCTGGACTAATAGTTCTGTGTAGAACTGTCCTGGAGAAAATTCATAATGTACAATGACAGAGACCTTCACCTCTGTTTCCTGGTTACTTCTGCTGAAAAGGGAATCTCTAAAACACCTTTATAAAGGTCTGGTTATGGTAGTAATACTCTGCATAATATTCATTTAATGATTTCAGAGAACTTCTCAAAATTTACAGAAGTGTGCTGCCTATGGGAGGGCTGATGTTAGTATTTGCTATTTACTTACTTGCTAAATACTTAGAAAAAAACATAGATTCAGACACTATCCCATATTTACAGAAAAAATACTGGCAAGATTAACCCAGAGCCCCAGTCCAAACCATCTGCTTTGAGCATTAGATGAATTTCCTCCACACAGCCTTGCTCCACTGAATTTTATATATTTTCCAAGAAAATACCCTTCAAGATTCAGCACTTACTTTTGTCATGTGTGAAGTATCTTAACAGAAAAGCACTTTCAACAAGACTTGAACTCCTCTTCTAAAACTGGAGTTCCTTTCAGAGGGCAAATATATATTTATTGAATGTATTCTGTGAAACTTCTGAATAGCTAAATCCACTTCTTTAAAAAAAACCCCTAAGATCTAATCTTAAGGTCACTGACCCTAAATGGAAAGAGCCTGCTGGCTCTCAGGCTTTATTGGGAACGAGCAACTTTGTATTAATAAAATTTCAGGTACCTTTGCAAGATCTTATTTGGCCCTGAAAATTGTATCCTACACCGGATTTCTGCAGTATGTTATTTTCCTGGCAAGGAATTGGATTAGGAAGTATAATGCTCCTGAGAACTTGCCTCTTAAAGGAAGACTCTCTTGTCCAGTAACAGCTCGTACCCTCAGGAGAGACTTCTGCTCTAACCCATAATCAAAAAGCTGTCAAACAGGTCAGTGTGGTCCTTGACATGTCTGGTCTCACCCCTGTACTCGGGTTAAACTAGAGCTTGGATAATCCTTAGGTCCAGAGCTGGGCTTAGTTGTAGGTAGCAATTTTACATCGTTTCAAGGTGAACAAAAAGGTTGAAGAACATAAACCTGCATTTTCTGGAACACAGAACTCTGCAACGTGCCATTTTGTAATTTGTGTGTTGTGTTTTATTTTGCAGATTCTATGGAAAACAGGCATTCTGTAAGTATATGGTTTATGCAGTTAAATGTGGTGACATTGGATTGAGATTACTGTGTATCTAGTGAGACAATGTTCAAGTGTTGCTGTGGTTTCATTGCTTATTTGTTGCCCAGGACCTTTACAGGACAGCTAAGGGGCAATCTCTTCGTGTATATTCTTACTTAATTAGCCTTTCAGTCCCACATTTATAGAATGATCAGCTCTAAAACCCCTGGGAGGGACTGGTGTTTGGTGGTGCTGGTGCAGGAGGGAGATGGCAAATAACGATCTCCCAGGAATTGGTGTTGAACAGCTGCACAGCTCTGGATATGTGCCACAGATATTCCTGCTGGCAGGATGGCACAAGGTTGGCATGGCTGCTGCTTCCTTCAGGTTCCTGATGGACCTGAGGAACTCGAGATTTGCATATGAAAACCTGCTGAACTGGTTAATGTGACCCTGGGGACAGAGCTGTTGTTCCAGTTCCCGGGTGTTCAGTGCCGGGTGTTCTCCTTGGGATGTGCCTGTTCACACACACATCCTGTGACTGGGATATCCAAAAAAGGCAGGTCCTTCCTAAGGTGTGAGGAGTCAAACTAAGGAGGAATCACCCCAACCTGCAGAAGTCACTTCACTATTTATGACTGTTTCCTCCTGGATGTGTTTCCATCCACTGGTAAAGCAGGTGGGGTGACTCCAAGGGCTGCTGCTAAACTGAGACTGTGTAAGAAATTTTGAAGGCAAACAGTTTTTTATTGCAGAGTACATTGCTGGGTCATGGCGAGGTCAGTTGTGCTGCTCTAACCTAGAACTGAGATTAGTACCATCCATATATGGACCATCTCAGCTGAAAAGCTTTGGAGTTTTGTGAAGATTCTGTAGGTGGTGAAAAGCTTCATAGTGCTAAGGAGCCAGTGAAAAAATATGGATTTTCTTTAAAAATCCAAGGAATGTCTTGAATGAGCTGTTACTCTGCTCTCAAGAGATCCCAGAGGCAGGGAACTTCCATTTCAGGAGTACTTTTATGAATGTTAGAGAAGCTCTCAAATGCAACCTCAGACTATGCAGAACAGGGTTTTTTTTCTACCATCCACTTTGTGACTTTGGAACTTGTAGTTCAAAAGAAAAAAGGAGAGACCCATAAATAAGAGTCACAATAGCACAGCCTACGTCAGCTTATGGCATCCCTGTGAGTTTTGAAAGGCTCCATCAGCACTCCCATCCCACGGGACACACAAGCAGCCCATTGTATTATTTACAGGCACTGGCAGTGCACTGAAGGTCACAGATTGCCTTACAATAAACAGACTCGTGTTAAAACAGGCCAGGAGGGTTTATAGTATCATTGTCTTTTTTAGTTTAAGGGTTTGTTTTTATTCCTTGCTCTCGATTTTCTAAAAATACATTGAGCTGAACCCTCCTCTGGGTTGTACCAGGAATTCCTTGCAGAAGAAAGTTTGTCCCTGTCCAACACAAAGTAAAAAATGGTCAAGAGAGGCTGTGACAGACATCAGTGTAAGCTCAGGGAGGAGATTTTGTCTTCTTTTTTCCACAGCCTACCTAATTTATAAAGGACACAGGATAAAAGATAGAAGTTTTATGAAGTTTTTTTTTTGTTCTCTTTTCCTGTGGTCGAAAGTGAGTAAAATCTCTCTCCATGGAACTATAATGGAAAAGTCAGTGAAAATGCACTGGCTACCCTGTAAATAACTTTCATAATTAATTGGGCTATTAAAGCTTGCTAAACCAGACAATCTATGAGGTAATGGTAGATTTAAGGAAGAAGAGTCAGCTGAGGGCAGTGTTTTCTTTGTGTTTCTTTTATTATTCTCCTATTAACAGTAGAAAAGTAATAAAGCTGTTTTGTGAAACTAATCCCATTTTCAGAAACACCCCAAAGAAAAGTCAGTTTTTTAACACTTCACATCTCTACTTGAGGTTTCCTGGAAGTAGCTTTACTCAGTTCACATCTGAGACATTGTCCCCCCCTTTGCTATACTGTTCATGTACTAACATAGTAACTGTTCCTTTTTTTAACATGTATTAGTGCTTTAAAGTACACAGCAAAAAACCAGAGTCCTGTTCCATTCACAATATAGCCTGTGGCAAAAAGCAGCACCACGTTGGATGGAGAGATGAATTTTGTTATAGATTTTCCATCCCCTCTATCTGCCTCTCACCGCTTTTCAGGCAGCACAGAAGAGGCAGGGAACTACTAATGTGCTTTGTATCATTATTTTCTAGAAGCTATTTTTTTTCTGTAGCTCATTTTCACACAGTGCTTGACTGTGATGTCTCTCAGAGGTTTGGTCCAAATGAGGGGTTGTTGATCCTACTCATGAAAAGGAAAATGCTTCTTATAAAGTGATCAAGTGGCTTAGACTTCCTCCCCAGCTGTTCTGCTTCTTGATAGTCAAATTAAGTATTTGGCTCAGAGTTGAAGTTGCTTTTAATGTGCTGCTCCCTTACTTTGTGAGTGAAAGGAGGCCTTCAGGTGGTCAGCTGGCATCTTAATCACATGGAATGCCAGATGGATTCCTTAGTATAGTGGCCTGTCAAAAAACTTGTGGAATTTGACTCTATGTAGGATATAATAGATGTTCCAGCAGTGTGGGGCAAAGGACACCCCAGCAGAGAGGACTGTTTTTCTAAGAGCTGTTTTCAGAGATGGGAGGACATGCAGCCTTTTTGTTTCAGTAATGATGGTGGAGGCTCAACATCGGATCCTGATGTCCTTTTTACTCCCTAAAATCAAATAAGGTGGATTCCACTGCTCAGATAAAGTCTGTTAACACTCAGTTCTGCATTGCTCTTCCAGAAGTCACGGGCAAAACACTCTTCTCTGTGGAGTAGGAAGATGTCACAAATCATTTTAATGATTGCCAGCCCTGCTTTTGTGCGTTTGCCCCTCCACAGTTTCTGCCAGAATAAATATAATCCAGCAGGGAAATCTAGGAAATTTGCTTCATCTTCACTGAGAGACAATCACAAAATTGAGCTCAGGCCTTTAGTAAACACTGTGTACTGACAGCAAGTGTTGTGTTATGCATTCAAAATGTTTGTGTTATGTCAAGAAAGGTTCTAGAAAAGCAACCAGTTTAAGTTTGAATTACTTAAATTGTGTAAAGGCCCAGCTGCAGTACAAGTTGTGACTGACTTGCAATCCAGAGTACCTTGAACCTGAATGTCTGGGACTTTTAGGTAATTTAGAAAGGAACCTAAAGTTTTATGTTGGGGGTTGCTTCCCTCCATCTCCTCCGTTTCAGAAATTTGTATCTTAAATGCCATCCATAGGAAGTATTTGCAAAAGAAATGAATTACTTAGAGAGGAACTGGGAGGAGGTTTCCTTCCTGAAATCAGAGCTGGCAATCTTTCTAAGTTATTTAATGGTCCCAGTTTCTGAAAACATATTGAAGGAAATATCTTGACAATGAGATAGCCACTTCGCCAAATCCTAATTGGTATTGTGTCAAATTTACCTCAGCAGAACGTTCTGACTTCATACCTCCTCCTCTCCTGCTCCCTCTTAGCTGTGTGTGTGTGTTTGTGTGATTCTGTCCTGGGGGTGCAGGAGGACTGGCAGCCTTGGCCAGGACATCGTGTACTTTTAGCTGCCTGTTTGCTCAGCCTCAGCGTGTGCCCTCTGAGACAGAAACCTGTACAATTTACATCCATTTGGTGCAATTTCTAGGTGTTATTCAGCTACTTTCTCATCTTGCTTGAGTGATCCCAAAAGTATTTTCCCAGTGGTAAAGGAACTCACGTTGCCAGCACAACACAGCCAGTTCTGAAGGAGGAGCTGGCATGTGTTTAACTGTGCACAGTGACATGGCACAGTAGTTTCAGACAGGAAAGGAAGATGAAGGATGTGTCCATTTAGAATTGGGGGGGGGGGAGATTTCAGGCAGTCAGGATATGAAAAACAAGGTGATACTCTGAAATAAACACTGAATTATAAACCAGGAATTCCTGCCTCTGACTCATGGGGCAAATCCTTTGGGGGTAAGTCCACAAAAGGAATGAGGCGCCTCGGTGCTGACAGACTAAACTATTAGGTTAGAGGCCACCATGTACTCTTAGAAATTTCTTGGAGGAAGACTTGCTTTGGCAACCAATGTCAGGAAAGACTTGACAGTTGTGAATTCCCAGTGGACAGAATTATTTCTGTCCTATAATGTGAAAACAATGAATTTTGGGATCTCTCTCTGCCCATTCCCATTGGCTGGACCGCTCCATCTGCACGCTGCCTGTTGTGGTTCCCAGTGCCAGGTTTCTGTCCCTGCTGTGTGCTGGAGATATCCTCTTCCCAGCAGCCAGGCTCTTGGAGGAACATGGTGTCCCAAAGCTGAACACTGCGTTGCTCCCTGGGAGACATCAGCCTTAGGAAAAGGTTTTCCTTCTCACAAACTGAAGCTGAGGATCTGATTGTGGCAGCTGAACATCTCCTAGTAAATACGGGATCTGACTTCCAGATGTCTTGAGTGCCAGCAATTCCCTTAAAAATCCAACTTTTAAAAGTAAATACCCGCTTGCAGATGTTGGTGATTAACAGCATTGCAGTCTAGCCTGTAATTGTTGACCTAAATCTCCCACTGTCTTATTTCCTTTTATATCTGATGAAGATAATACTAATATCTCCCCAGGGAACTGTGAATATCTATTAGCTCATTGTGCAGCATTCTAAGGAATATGTTATGGGGCAAGAGAGTAGGGACACATTTATACTCACACCTTGTTTTTTTCTTTTTTGCTCTTGTTGCCAACAGAGAATATCAGGGCATCCTGATGCTACTTAGAACAGTCATCTCAAAGATCAGCTGGGAGAAGAAAACAAGCCAAGATGGAAGATGTTGCAAATGTTTCAAAGGCTCTGCAGCAGTTATTTATGAGTTTGCCAGACTCTTCTTTTCAAAGTTTATTTCCTTAGGGGGAACAATAGAGATGTTCCTAAAGCATTTAATGGAAAAAATTGCGAATAAAAATTCTCATAGGAAAGTGGCTCTAGAAACCACTGACCCAGGTTCTCATTTTTATTTTCTCCTGCTAATGCAATTTAGCCTTTTTTTTTGCCTCCAATTCATCATTCTCTGAGGAAACAAAAGGGGAAGTTACAGCTGAGGAAGCACATTTCTACAGTGCAGTGACTGCTGGGATGCCAGTAGGACGTAGAAATATCTAAGCTTGCTTTGAACTTGCTACCTTGGTTATCAGTGACACTTCTGTGGCAGAGCAGAGCTCAGCACAGCTTGGCCAGCCATGGATGTACTTTCTGATCCTGCAGCTTGTGCTGAACTCCCTGTGCTGCAGCAGCTGGACTGCTACCAGGCTTGGAGCCAGCTCACTTTTAGCCCTGGGGATGCTTCACTGCAGGGAGGGCCTGACAGAAGAGAGAGCTCTGGGTGCTCGAAAAACTTGAATAACTGTTGTGAGATTCAGACTTTACCAAGTGCTTCTATCAGGAGGGGCACAAATAGTCTTTATTCTTTGCTAAACTGCTTTTCCTCTTTAGAAGGTCTGGTGCTTGTTGGTTAGTTTGGTGTGATGGTTCTTCAAGAAATGATTGTCCATCACAGTTGTTTTGGATGATTCTATGATAGGTCTTCAGGGAGTGGATATACTGCACCCAGGTCAGTGAGTTTATACCTGAAAATCCTGTTATGTATAATCTTTATTCCTTTGATTTTAGGAGCGATCTGAAGTCATACTTGTGCCCAGTTTCTCCAGTATGGAACTCCATACCTAACCTTTTTCTGTATAGCATGATAAACCACTAACATGGATCCAGTCTGGACCTGGATCTAATCTCTGCAGCCCATGTTTATCTCAGCTGCATTAGTTTAAAAAAAGAACACAAAACAAACCAGAAAAAATGCTGTCCCCAGCCCCATAACCAGCTGGCCTTTGGCACTGCAATTGCTCTCCTTTTCTTACTGCAGATTAAATTACTACAAGATCTGGGCCACAGGTAAGAAGGTTCTCATTTTAATTAGAAAATAGTGAAAGAAAGGCCGTGGATTGTGTATACATACATAGTTACTGCTTTAAGCATTGCATCAAGGGTGCAAAACAACCACAGAACACAAAAGGGTTTTATATCCTCATTCCAAGTGTTTAAATTTTCAAGCTCCAGTTACTGGCTAATATCTCTAATTTATTGTTCCCTGTGCAAATGTTGTTTGTATCACAAGCCTGTCACAACTGACTGACTTCACAGCTCTTTCTGTTGACAAATGTTCCTTCAGCATCCCACGAGTGTCCATGCAAATGCCTTAGTATAAGGAATGTGAAAAGGTATTTTAATAAAGAAAACTCTGAATTGAACCTTGCATTGGATCTTGCACATTCATGTTAGTGACCACTTGCAAAGGAATGCCTGTGAGGTTTTTTATTAGTGATGAGCCACACAGATCCATCGTATGGATTTGCATATGGAATTGTCATCTCTGCACCAAGTGATTCCAGGCACTCAGAGCTGGAGTTCAGCAGCAGGTAAATACACTAAATTGTTTTAAGAATTCAGTGTGGGAGTTCACATAAGTATTTTACTAAAGTACAAATGTAAAAGCTCCTCCTTCCCAGCCCCTGGCACAGCTCGGGAATGCTCTGGTTTCTGGGAAGTTTCAGCATGTCACTTGGGCATGATGGAGCTGCAGTGGGACAATTCATTGCTCGCTTTCAGCTTGTCTCTTGTCTGGAATAATCCTAAATTATTTTAGATTTAGTCTAATACAAGTTGTTTGCCCTACTGAAACATATGTGAGCTATCCATTTCTCAGAGTGCTGTGTGCTGCTTAAACCCTTCTGTTTTGTCTTGCAGATAACAAAAGTAATTCAAAATATGGGACATTAGATCAGCAGATGTCTCCAGTGAAGACAAGGTAAATGGGTCCATGAAGTAAACAGCTATGCAAGGAGACCCAAAGTCCTGATATGAGCACATGCCAAAAAAGGCCTTATTATCCCATAGGAAACATTTGGGAAGTAAGTCTTGAATCTGCTACTGAAACAGACTGAAGCTCAGATTAGAGCTCAAACAGTACGGGATTGAAAACAACCAAGCGAAATTCAGATTTCAACGTTGTCACCGAGTTGAGCTCAGCAAATATAAAATGAGGTGTGTGGGTAAATATTTACTTTCTGAGCAGGGCAAAGGGATGGCACATGCCCAGGCCCTTTGAGCCATGCAGTGCCTTGTCCTTTGGGATGGACATCCCCAGGATCTCTGTGCCCTGCCTTGTCCGAGCAATTCCACCAACAGCACCACATCCTGCTTCCACCCAGCATATTCAGGGAAAGCCTTACCCACCACACGGCCTCACTTGGGCAACTTTGGAATATTTCCACTATGACAGAGCTGAGGCTTTAGCGGTGAGACACAGAAAGGCTTCAAACAGACTCTTCCTCCTTGCCGCTGTTTGGGGGTTTTTTGTTGTTTGTTTGTTTTTGTTTTAAATTTTTTTATTTTTTTATTTTTTCATTTCCAGCCGCGTATTTTCTCGTGCGGAGGGTGCCTCTGTGCTCCTTGGGGGGTGTTTGTGCCGGTCCCTCCCGGGATGTGCCGGGCCCGGGGCAGCGCCCTCAGCGCCGCCGCTCCCGCGCTGACCCCTGGTGGCCGCCGGGGGAACGGCGGGTCCCCGAGCCTGGGGGGTGTGAGGGGAAGGCCCCGGTGCTGGGATGGCTTCCTGCGCTTTTAATTAATAAATAGACTGAGCCGCTCTTAAAGAAGGTATTAAGCCATTAGAGAGCGTCCAAAGGAGGGCAGCGAAGATGGTGGAGGGCCTCGAGGGGCGGCTGAGGGCACTTGGTGAGTTCAGTCTGGAGGAGACTGAGAGGAGACCTCACTGCAGTTCCAGCTTCCTCGTGAGGGAAGAGGAGGGGCAGGCCCTGAGCTCTGCTCTGTGGGGACAGGGACAGGTCAGGTTGGATCTCAGGCAAAGGTTCTTCCCCCAGAGGTGGTTGGGCACTGACCAGGCTCCCCAGGGCAGTGGGCACAGCCCCAAGGCTGCCAGAGCTCAGGCAGCGTTTGGATGATCCTCTCAGGCACAGGGTGTGACTCTTGGGGATGGTCCTGTGCAGGGTTAAGAGTTAGGCTTGATGATCCTTGTGGGTCCCTTCCAGCTCAGCACATTGTGCTTCTGTGAAGAGTTTCCTAAATGCAGTGTAAACCTCCCAGCCATGGCTCCTTCCCCTCTTCTTCCGTAGTTAGTGAATTGTTTGTAAATGCTGAGGCACTACTTTGAGCAGAGTAAATATCCTGTTCATCGGTGGGTGATAAACCTCACGGTTTATTTACTTTTCTGGGGTGTTATGTGCTTGTTCCACCTGCTGCTTTATGAGATTGGTTCTGTTCAGGTTCTTTATGCTGCAATTCATCCCTAAGCTTGTCTTGCATCATGAGCCCACAGCTTCTGGGGGCAGGGAAGAGAAGAGGACAAGGAACAAGGAAAGGAGAGGACAGGAACAGGGGAAAGAAACAAAGTTTGAGAAAAACAAAGCTATCACATGTAAAACAACACCCCCCTCAGTTAAACTAGAAATCAAACTGAAAGTAATAAAGTATCAGTACAGATTTAAAGTGCTAGCACATTTTGTTATTTAGAATGTCAAGGCCTTTCTAAGTAGGCTGGTGAAAGCAAAATAAGCATCACTTTTGCTGTTATTTGGAAGGTAATAAGCGAGTTGTCATGTCTAAAGAATCACAAAGAACGGGGCTTTATTGCCTTCATGCTTTGAAATGCTCCACTCTAAATCACAAGTCTTCCCATTCGAGAGACTTGCTTAATGTAGCTTGCATGGGAAGCTTCAGCTAAATGTGAGCATTTGTATTTATACAGGTAATTTATTTTCTCACCAGCCACAGACATGCTGAGTGGGAAGGCTGAAAAAATTCTCACCATTACAGGCAATAATCACTGTAGTTAAATTTTAAATTTAATAGCAAAAGAAATCACAGTTTCCTCGGGGAGGGAGTCACCTGCAAAGCCTGATGACAGAGAAACAGAATAACAGCATGAAGCTGAAATGAAAGATTTAGCACAAAGCAGCAGAAGCCAAGGCAGCCACTGCAAAGGCACTCGGGCTCTGCCCCATCAATCTGGATCTGCAGGAGCACTGGACTGTGTGAACTTCTAACGGCGTGTTAGAAATGGACCTCACACAGTTCTGACCACACTCCCAAGGCCAAGAGGAATTCAGATCCAACAGGTATTGTTTGAGGAGAAATCCCACAACTAAACTGTTACTTACGGTAAAGATGGAATCTGCCTCTGAAATGAATAGAGTAGTAATATATTTCTGTGTAATTCTGAAAGCTTGAGAGTGGTAGATGAAATCAGGGTCTCCTTTTGAGCAATGAAAATATGACAGTTTTTTCACTGAACGAAAACCAGAAGTGACCAGTGCGACAGTTCATATTCCTCTGGTTACTGCCCTGATTTTTCTGTAGTTGTCTTTTTGTTTTAATGTTTTACTTGGGAGATAAAAGGAGATCCTAAAATGAAGGCTTATTACAATGAAGGAAAAAAATGAAAAAAATAAGATGAAATGAAAGACAGAGAGGAGTTAGCAGAGCTGGGGGTGAGAAATCCTCCAGACTGTGGAAGGTTTGGGTAGAAACAACCCATCAGTCTGGTCACCTTAACAGATCCACACTTCATGGTGTTGGTGATGCTCTGGGGAATGTGCTGGGACAGAATCAGTGCTGTGGAGGTGGTATGTCACAAAATTCCTGTATTTGTAGTAGCCCTGTGACCACTAGGAAAAGCAGAAAATACATCTGTTAACAAAAAGCCCTGTTGCAGGTAAGGGCGCCATCGATCCAAGAAGACAAAGGGTTCATTTTTGGTGCTGTTGGTGTATCAGTCCTGTGTGGGGACATGGAGTCAGGAGGCACTGAGGGGCCTGTGATACACAGGCTGAGATACTGGCACTGGGAATGTGTGCTTCAAAAGGAAACATCCCATTACACTGGTATTTAGCTGACAGAACCCAAGCCCCGTTCAGTGCTTGCAGAGGAGCTGTGACTGCTGAAATCACCTGTTTCCACAAAGCACTGTCAACACTGCACAGGGAGAGCTAGGCTTTGAATCCTCTGCACTGGCTTCTTGTTTATCCACTGTTTAACTCCAGGCAGAGCCAAGTCTCCACTGTGACTGGCACAGTTTCACTTTGCAAATCAATGAGACAGTGCTACAAGGGCAGAAGAGTCTGGCCTGTGAAGTCGGGTTGCTCAGAGGTGACGAGCTGACAGCCCTGACTGGCTCTGTCCTCATGGAACTAATCTGTGCCAAACCCTGAGCTCCCCAGGGCTCCCACTGCCCTCCCAGGCTCTTTCCTAGTGGGATCTTCTGGAGTGGCTCAAGCTCCAATCAGCAGTAAACTGTGGAACTGTGTCATCTCCCAAGTGAAATCACCACCTTCCAGCCCCACCTTTTCCTTAGGGAACTCTCTGCCTCGTGTGGGGATAAATGCTTCCAAGGCAGTGAAAATGAGAGCTGCTGGTCTTTCCTCAGGAGCAGAGAGATAGAGAAGTTGACATCAGTGGGACAAAGATGAGGGGTTCGTCTTAAATGGGCTGAGTCCTGGTATTACTGGAAGGAGTGAATTTGGTGTCTCTGCTTGATAACAGTCTGTGAGAGTGCAATGGAAGAAAAAATTGTTAGGTCTATTAAGTTGTGGTCAGAGTGTAAGTCAATTAACAAAAATTGCGGCCACCCAGGTTATTAAATTAACATGAGATTGTCAATAGGAAATATAGATTGCTTTTGAATAAATGGTAATGATGAAAATCCCACAGTCTCCCATAATGCAAAGCTTAGTTTTGATTTTATTACTGTTTGAGTTGGTTTTTACATTTTTGTTTCAACTTCATGCTCATTAAAGAACAGGAGATTTAAAGAGCAAGACTTTCATATTTAGGAATGCTGAGAGCTGCAATATCTGTTATGAGGCAGAAGCTGGAGATGAGCTGTGATTCTGCAGAGTGATCCACTGCAGAGCTGGAATCAGGTAAAGTCAAGAGTGTCTGAGTGCAGTCCTTGCTTGCAAAATGCCAGATCCCATTTTCCAGCCACTGCCTGTGCCTGTGTCACCCAGGCAGGGAATCAGGACCTGACAGCCTGGATTGCTTCAGTTGCTTTGGCCAGTGCTTCCCACAGTCAGGTGAAATCCTTCATTGACACTCCCAGAACTCTGATTTTGTGGCCTCCAGATAAGGATTTAGTATTTTGCACTGCCCTGGACTCCTGGAAATGTTGGCATAGAGACAAGGAGAACAGCAGAGAACCACCTCAGTGAACCTGGCTCAGGGTATTCCTCAGGGCTGGAAGAACAGCTCTGACTGTACCTACAGCATGTGTTGGCACTGTGGAAAAACTGGTTCCACCTGAGGGTGCTGAGCCTCAAACAGCCTGCAGGCAATGTGTCCACCTGGGAGTCAGGGACCCTCAGGGAGCAGAGAGAGGAATTATGCAGCCTTCTGAAGAGAGATCCTGCCGGGGCGCTCGGGCACTGGCTGATCTCTGCAGAGGGATGGTATGTTCAGCATGACTGAAGGTATGAGCTGGCTCAGCCCTGGAGCCTCAGAACATTGTGTACGGTGTGTGAGTCCCGGTTAGTCATCGCTGGAGGGAGCCTGGGGCTGGCCTGACACACACCTGTGCTTTGTCGAATGAGAAACCCTGAGAGGGCTGTCTTTAACTGTCGTTATTTTCTTTTCCTTTCTTTTTTAAATCATATTCTTTTTCCTGAAGCTGATCTTCTCCCACTGAGTTGATTCCTCTCTGACCGTTGCAGGATGAATCACCCAGTCCTACGTGTCTATCTGTATTCCCAGTGGGACTGTGGAAAGCAAACCTGACTAATGTCCCCTACAAGGAGACAATGATAATTGATGCTTTTTAATTACAAGTTTCCTGCCTTATGCTCTAATTTTTCAGCTTATAATCATTAACAGTATAATGGAGTCTTAAGTAAATTGTTGCCTTTTCCTCTTGTGTAGCATATGTAGGTCAGATTTTCGTGTGTAACAGTTATTATCTCTGACGCATTAATGAGTGCAGTGACTGCCTGACAAAGGTCACATCTGTGTTTCCTTCACTGCCTACAAACACAGAGAGGGCTGTGTGCTCCCACCGACTGATTGTCCTGATTGCTCTGGTTTCTGGAGCCGTTTCCACCGGTGCAAAATCACTTGGTAGCTGCTTTACACCTACTTTGTACTTCTGTCAGTGAAAGCCAAGGTTGAGGGCAGAGAAGTGTCAGCAGCCCTCATGTTCTCAGCACAGCAATCACCTTTCATGCATCCTTGGCTTTTCAGGCTCTGTGCACTTGCAGTCAAAGGGATGAAGGTGTTGCCTTTCCACGAGGAAATGAATGGAGCTTTTATTCCCCATCTTTGACCAAAGCACTTAGATGGTTTTAGGCCCAGCAGATTGTTTCCAATAGCAGGGAAAATTGATCACTTAGGTACTTTGATGCAACCCTTTCATTTACAAAGAAAGTACAAAATTCCATTTCCTTGAACAGAGGAGGAATCAGATGATATTCTCTTTCTCTGCATGCAGTTTCAGTCCTTTCAGCCAGCACTTGTCCAGAAGCACTTCAGCAGCCTTTTTTTGCTCAAGGTCATTCTTGCAGGGTTTATATGGCTCTACCTGGTTTTGAGGAAGGCTGATCCTACCAGACCCTGGGACTCACCATCACTCCAAGCACTGCCCTCCTCCTGCATCTTCAAAGCCAGCCTTTCTCAGCTGGCAGAAACCTTGAATGCATCAGCTTCTCCTCCAGGTTTACCCTTTTGCCTTGTTTCTCGGGTGGTTGTTCCTTTCAGCTGCCTGCCTGTGTACAAGAGCTTGGTTGTTCCTTTCACAAAGGAATATCCAATGAAAGGCAACATTAAACCTGTTGGGGTCATAAGCTTTTGCCTGAACTCTGTGTCTGGATGGAATTAGGGTTGGACACTCAGCATGTGGCATTGTGCTGGTGAAAAAGTAAGACCTTTGCACATTTATTGTCAGTGACAACAGGAATATGTGAAGGAATTGGGGCAAGATGAGACTCTCACTGCCCAAGTGAAGTTTTTACTCTTCCCACTGCAGAGAAATACCCTGCTGACCAATGAGCAGGATGCATTTCTAATACTCATTCGAGTTTCTTTGCATTCCTTGCCCTACTCATCATATTTAACCTTGGATTAATTTGTAGGGACCTACTCAGAGTTCTATTTAAGAGGGGAAGAAACAGAAAGGAAGCCTGGACATGGCGTGTTTTCTTGCAATATTGTCCTGGACAGTTTCCAATCTGTTAATGGATGCACACTGACATCTAAACAATCCCCAGGGGAGGCTCAAGATCCATCTGACTTGAGTAAGAGGTTCCTAAATAGCTGTAACAAGCCCATACTTCAAAAGAAATAAATTTTGCTATTTTTAAAATATGCAAGTCTTGGAAGGCTTTGAATATCAAGATTAATTCTCTGTCTAAATGCAGTGGAAGGCAGCACTGGTGAGTCTCCCTCAAATCTGGAAGGTTTTAATATTGCCTGGAATCTGGATTTGATGTTCTAAAAGCTTAAGACTGTGTTTAGTTCACTTTTTATTCCAGGGCAGACTATCCGTGTACCTATCAGATTCCTTAGTATATTTCCCTGGATTTATGTGAAAAACATACCACATTATCTATCAGCACTTGACATTTCGACTCAGGCATTCTGGTTTGATAGATTACTTGACTGAAAGATTTAATGGCACTGAAAAAACCCAAGATCACATGGAGCCAGATGTCGTCCTGCTCGGTGTGATGCTGTTTGCAGTAGGCAGCAATAGAAGATGGCTGTGGAAGCTGGACAGGGCAACTGGTCAGGTTTGGAGACTGGATTATGCATCAGGTCACTAAAATTGCACAGGGATGGTGAGAGGAGTATTCTCAGTGCCTCACAGTGGGCACCCACCTGGCATGTCTGAGCTGAGGCTGCTCTGCTCTCCAGTACTGCCACTGAGAGTCCTGTTTGGAACTGCCCTCTGGAGGTGCCTCTCCCTTCCCATTGCCTAAATTAGGTAGCCTCAGGTTAGGAGCATTGGCACATAGGAGCACAGGTTCCTTATTTAGCCACCTGAGTGATTAGCACAGTGAGATGTTATTTAATATGTCTCTGTGCAGAGGCTTTCCTCCCAAAGTGCTGTACAGTTAGTGTTGTTGGAGAGAAGGAGGATGTGAAGTCCAGAATGAGAATCCAGCTGTGGAAGCACTGAGAACATTTGGCTTTGGAGGCTGGGTCAGATCTGTTAAAGGAATGGGCCAGGACAGAGCTGCCACTGGTGTTTGGTTGTAGGGAGAGAAGGGAAGGTTGGATCTTGGCTGTGGTGATTCTGTGTGGGTGGACAGGTACTGAAAGCTGTGTCAGAGGCAGTTCTTTAACATGGCAAAACACCAGTCCTGTGTTTGCTTTCAGAGCTGGGCTCTTGTTTGTTCTGTGGTGTGACTGCACCTTCATGTTCTTGTTGTTTAAGCCCAGTCTCCTCAGCAAAGCTCAGTTAGAAGATGACCTTGCCCCTTTATTCCAAAAAGCTGGACTGACTGGCATAGACAGTAGAGTCTGTTCTGTGATGTGCAGGTATGGGCCACAACGATGCTGCTGCTCAGTTAAAGGTTACTAATTATGTCACAGATTGCAGTTCCTCACACCTCGGTGAAGTTCACGTAAATAAAGGCTCGAAGCAACATTCAGGTTTGAAATTACTCTGTCTAGAACTGCATGACAACCTAAGTGATATCAGCTTTATGAAAACAATGCTGTTGTTTACACCTTCAGAACATAGAAATGATCCTGACCATCTGTGCCAGTTCTCCATCTCATTTGGAGAAACCAAAGCCAGTGTTTTATCCCTCTTTTGTAACAAAGAATTCACTTCATGCTACAGTTTCTGATTCTATTTCACCAGATATACATTCAGCTCTGGGCTGGATATTAATGCTCTCAGAACAAAGACATCAGAGCAAGATGTGACTATTTTTATGATAGTGATGTTTTGAGTCACTTTTGACCTCATGCCAACACAATCCAGGAACAATTCCCATTAAGTCTATTGATGTGAGTCTTTCCTCGAAGGGGATACTCAGGAAACCTTAGCTGAATTATATTTTAAAGTAGATTAGTTAAATTCTATTAAACCCTATGCAGATATTCATATTCAGAATTAAGTGGCATTAATCTGATTTAGTGTACTTCACTTTGAAAAGGAGGAAAGTTAAATCAAATGAAGGCCACTTTAACGCTGAGCAGCAGCACTCACGCAGGACTCCAGTGTAACTTTCAAGTCACGCATGTGATTAATTTGGATTAATTTTTCTGACTTTCCCCGTGAAGACAGAGGACAATGAAATCATCATAGATGACCTGACCATATGTTCTCCTTCTCCCCCCAAAAAATCATTACAGACCTAGCTCATGCTGTATATTGGACAGTTGGTTTGGAGTTGTGTATCTGAAGCTGCTGTTCATTTCCAGTCTATAGTCAGTGCTCTTTTTTCCCTTTACTAACCATTTAAATTAAGCCCATCAGTGTAGAACCTCAGCATCTGCCAGGCAGGAGCAGGAGGGCACTGCTGGCTCTGTTAATGCTCCTGTGGCAGACCTGTGCATGTGGAAAACTGGCAGCATGTGTGCCTGATTTAAATATGTATCTTCAGCTGTTCTGCACTGGCAGGACTAAATTTACTTGTAGATTTAAAATAGGTGAATGATTTGACAGCTAAAAGGTCAGGACACCCCACTGTTCATTTTGTGCTTTGCTTTTCCTGATTAATAGAAAATGGTCTGTAGCATCTGCTGTTATTGTCAAGGCTTTGTGGTGTAAGACCTGCCCAGACAAAATGTAGTCCAGTGTCCCCCAATCTTCCCCCAGCTTTGTATTTTGTCACAGTTGCTCTCCTGAGGACTCCAGCACTCAGCCAGAATATTCTAACTCACCAAGGTCTCTGTGGAGGGAGAGGTATTGACTTCTCCACCATGTGCAGATCAAATTTCAGGCTTTTAGAGTTTTGTGCATTTGCCAGGTACACTGAAATACAGATACCAGCTCTTCCAACCTTGCTGTGACTTTGGCAGCAGGCACGTGGCTGTTCTGCACAGCACAGGGACTCCCCTCTTCTCCTGTGAGAGGTGGCATCACTGCTCTAGGTGTGCACTGGCCATTCCCCCTGTCTGGACTCAGTGTTGGGGAGAGCTGTGAGAAACATCACAAATGTTTTGCAAGTCTGAGAGAGATCAGTGCAAATTCACAGCACTCAAAGTGTTTGACCCAGTACCTTCCCTGGGAAGAGCTCTGCCTCTGGGTGTCACCTTGACAGCATGTTCTACCTCTGCACACCTTGCTGGCCTTGATTCAGCCTGTTCTGTGAACCCACTTCACCTCCTGGCAGCCACCAGAGGCTGTGCTGCTGCTCCCTGTACCTCACCCCCAGCTGCAGAGACAGGTGGAAGTTGGAACCTCCTCTGACTCTGGAAATGTGACTTCTCTGATGTGAGGAGTTGCATAAAGCTATTTCTCCACTGATACTTGGCAATTTAGGAGCCTTTAATAATAGAGGATCTATCCTCAGCTCAGCTTTAAAAATGAAGCAGTAATAAAAAAAACACCCCCAAACCCCAGAATAATGTGCTTTAGCACAGGATGCAACAAGAGCTCAGGGTTTCTGCAGTTCCCAGGGGCATTTTAGAAGCAGAGTCAGAGCCAGGCTTGGGGAGCTGGCTGGGGAGGCTCCCTGAGGAGGGCATGACCAGGCTGTGCTCCTTTGTGCCAGGAACTGGGATCAGTGAGGGGAGAAGTGATGGGCTGGGTGCCAGGATGGGCAATTTGCAATGTAGAGAATTCAGGTCCAAAGATAGCACAGAAACCGTTGGTGGGGGAGAATTGGGGGGTGCTGAGGACACTGTGGTTGTGGAGTGGAAGGAGGGTGGCACTCAGGAAGCTCCAGCTCTCCTCCATACCCACCATCAGGGCCAGCTGAAGCTCCCTGGGAAGCCTCGGCCTTGCCAGCCCTTGTTGGGCTCTGCACACACTGAGTGGGCTGGAGCCTTGTTGTCTTTTCCATGCTAAGCCTCTTTCCATTGCATTTAATATTTTACCACTGGCAACCAAACAAACCAAGAGTAAAGCTGTTCTCACACACACACACAGCCCCGTGTGTGCCAAGATTCCCGCACTCAGGCACAGCTGCTGCCTCATTCCCTTTAAAGCTTCTCAGGATAAAACTGCAAGGCCTGTCCTGCAGCTCCCGGGTCTTCCCCGGCATCTGACGGCAAATGAGATTTGTGAAAACCACGTGGAACCCCAAAGCTCATGTAATGTTCTTTTCTCACAAAAGTAGAAGCTTTAAACTGCCCTGAGCTGTGAAATTCTGATGGGGGCATTACATAGAAGGGAACTGAGCCTCACAGTAGTTCTGGCGGAGAAATATTACTTATTATTTTACAGCCCGCTCAAGCAGTGCTTTTAAATATATTTAAATGTCTCCCTCACATATTCTAAAAGATTAAAGTAATTTTTTTCAAAAGCAGCTCCTGACTGTACATACCTGTTCCTAGAGCCTGCAGGCTGCTGTTTCTCAGAATGACTGTGTATTTATACACAGGATACTGAAATATTAAAATAAAAAAGCATTACTTTATTCCATTGTCTTTTTGTAGGATAGGAAGAAGATAATTATCCAACAAAAGGATTCATTCCTACAGCATTGAGCGATTAAAAAGTTCAGAGATTTTTCCTTTTCCCCTTCTTCCACATTTAGAAGAGGATTCCCAAGAGACCACGGAGCCCAGAGGTAGGTACCCTGGTCAGACACAGCTTGTGTCCAGTTCTTCCCACTGACTGGCTCCAGCCTTTGCTCAGCACACTATGGAAGAAGCCTCTGCTGAGCCCCTCATTTCAGGTGCAAAAATATTTCTCTTGAGGTCAGGCTTTTTAGGCCATATGTTGTCTAACTCATGTGCAAAGAGAGGGCAGAAAAAGCTTCAGAAGCTCTAGTGAGTTGCTTATAGTTTAACAAGGCTAAAACTAACCCACCAGTCACAGTTTCAGCCATAGGCTCTGTTCCTGCAGGGAAAAGCTGTTGTTAAGAAAACCACCATTATCTTATCTCCAGACTTTGGAAACATTAACATCAGCACTGTATAATGATTCAAAGGTCTGCCTGTATACAAGGACAGCCATGAACAGAAACCTGTCCTAGGTGATTGAATACACTTGTACATATATTTCAAATAGAATGTTGCCTTTTTAATTAAATAAGACTAAATTAAGGTGATGCAGTGATGCTCACACAATGCAGTCTTTTGTTGGGATCCTGCAGCTCAGGGAGCCTTCAGACTGCTGAATTTAGTGCTCAGACATCAAACAGCTTGAAGGCTCTACCATCCATTTGGTGAGCTCAGACCATTCCTCACTGAAGCGGGTTTTGCCAGGTGCTGACCCCTCTCAGTAACTCTGGTTTTCCAGTTATCTGCAGGAATCCTGGTTTTAAAATCAGAACTCAAATATGCTGGTGAAAATTCACTTCCACAAGCACTGGATTGTTGCTGCAATGTGAAGAGCAAAGCAGTTTGAGTGCTATCTGCACCTCCTTTTGAACTAGACTGCAAACCCTATCATGAACCATGTATATAATGCCTGATATAAAAGGATGCCAAACCTTGGCTGAACTATAGCTGCAGACAGGAAACTATTTGAAAATTAATATTGTGTATTTAACTCTTTGCATTAGCTAGTTTGGAGTAATTTGAATTCTGCTCACATCTCCCACTAAATGTTGGCTAGTAAATAAATTACTGTTGTCTCATCACCTTATAAAGTATCACAAATTTGAACACTGGTATGAAATAAAGAGTCTGAAAGATCTCATAGGATTATGTTTTAATTCGAACTGAAATTATTAAGGAGAAGAGAATTGACACAGCCAAATTAACCCAAGGGTGAGCTAAAGGAGCCTGGGCAGCCAAGGCCAGCATGAGTCTGACCCAGTGTAATGTTGTAATGTCATTATGAACTGCCCTCAGAAGCAACAGCAATTAAGTGAAGGGTAAAAGCAGTGGTGAGGCTGTAATTTATTGCAAGACACCATTATTGGGAAAACAACCTTCTGACACAGAATTAATTTTTTTCTCCCTGTGCGCTGCTAATTGGTAAATACGAAGGGTAAATAAAACGACCTCTGCTAGGGCACGTTTCCTGGGTTCGCTGGGTGACAGACGACTTTGGCGAAGCTTTCCCGGCCGCGCACACACATTTCCTGCAGCGGCCGCTCCCTCAGCAGCGAAACCCCGCAAGGCGCTGGGAGCACAAAACCGAAACCCTCGTCCTGGAGCGGGCGGGTTTATCGGGGCGGCCCGGCAGGCTCGGCACCGGGGGCGGGGGCAGCGGGAGCGGCCGTGACCCCGCGCGGGCCGCGGGAGCCGTTCCGCCCGTCACCGCCACCGGCCGCCGGACCCCGATCGCCTGAGGGGCGAACCCGCCACCCGCGGGTCCCCCCATCCCCAAGCCCGTCCCCGTCCCCGTGCCCGCCCCGCTCCGCCCCGTCCCGCCCCCCCGGCCGGCGCTGCGGCGGCTCGGCCAGGCCCGTCCCCCCGCGGGGCCCGGATCGGCGGCGCCGCCGCCTCCCCGCCGCTGCCGCCGCCCGGCGCGGGCTGGAGCCGGGCCGGGGCCGCGCCGGGCAGTGCCATGAGCCGCGGCTGAGCCGAGGTGAGGGCAGGGCAGGGCGGGGCGGGCCCGCGCCGGGGGATGCGGGCAGGGGGGAGCGGAGGGGCCGGGGGGGGGCGGTCGGGCCGCGCCGCGGGCGGGTCCCGGGGCCGGGCAGGGCGATGGCGGCCGGGGGGACCCGCGGAGCTGAGGGAGCTGAGCCGGGACCCGGCGGCTGCTGTGGCGCTGAGCTGAGCTGGTGGGCTGAGCTGGGTTGGGCTGAGCTGAGCTGAGCTGGGCTGGGCTGGGCTGAGCTGAGCTGAGCTGAGCTGGGCTGGGCTGGGCTGGGCTGGGCTGGGCTGGAGCGCTGCCCCTCGGTGTGCCAGAGCCGGGCTCAGCAGTTGTGCAGCAGCTGCCGGAGTACGAGCGACACCTCCAAAACAAGCGGCGGAGGAAGCGGCGGCCGCGGCCGCTCCTGCTGGAGCAGGGGGAGCATTTCCAGTTGGCTTTTAGTACCAAAGGTTTTCTGTCTCCTGAAATTGTTTTCTCTCCGTGGTCGGCTCCCTGGCTTCTGCTTCTCTTTCCATTCCCGGCGTCGTTTGTGTGTTACCTCTGTTGCAGTTCAGTGGCTGAACCCGTGTGCTGTGTCTCTTCAGCGTGTGCTAAAGTTCCTTTTTAATGTTTGTGCTCAACTCCTTGGTGATTTGTATCTCTCAGCATATGTCTTGAGGAACTGCTGTCCGTAATTTTGGGAAATTAAGTGTACAGCCGAGATTAATTTGAAGTTTTGTATGCGACCTAAGTATTATAACTCGAAGATAAATTAGCGTAAGACTTCAGTGCTGTAAGATTATCTTCTGTTAAGATGCTTTGTCATACTCCTCTTTCAAGATGATATTGCTTGTGTTACTCGGGAAAACAAGGCAGGCTCACAATTTTAGGGGTGTGCACTTTTACAAGAAGCCTTTTTTTTACTGTTACAATAACTTCATATTCCTAAACTGAATAAAATTCAGGCGGTGTGAGTACCCTATTTCAGTTTTCTCTGGATTGAAAATGGACTAAATTAGAGATAAAAGCACTTTAATTTAAGCAAAAGAAAGTAATGTTTTTGATGTTAGAATTGACTTTTAAAGACTGACATCGTGTTGGTTTATGATATATGGGAGGTTACTGTTCTGTTTGACTTCAAAGCTGATCCAACAAGCTGCTCTGTTGTGGGTGGCATATTAATTTTACTCCAAATAGGTGCTGAGGCTTGAGGTAGTGTTTCTGAGGCAGGACAGGGTAAGGTGTGTTCTCTCTGGAGTAAAAGACAAAAAAGTTAATTCTGTGCTCAAAGATACCTTGTACTGGGCTCTGCTGGGGTATGGTATCCCCTGGGAATTGTAGTGGTAAGGTGAACGTCATCTTTTGGTCCAGGCAAAGAACTTAGTGAGATGACCCATATTGCCTTTATTTTAGAAACAAAAATCAATGAATAAAATTCAAAGTTAAAACTCGAAGGACACAGCCCAGTAAAGTACATATATTAATTGCATCTTTCTTTTTGCATGAAAACAACTCTTGAGGAGTTTCAGATGTTAATAGCAGATATTTAGTTGTTTCTAACTAAAGAACTTCTAAACCAACTATTTTTCAAAGTGAAGAATGTGGAGCGGGAAGCCTTGACAGAACATGTAATGTTAATAATTTCTCTGTCGTGGCAGGGGTGTAAACAAAGTAATGGGAGATATAGAAACTTACCTGGTAAATAAAATATTAATATAATTGAAATAAATAGAAAATCAGGTATCTAGAGGACTGAAGATGCACTGTTGCATTCCAGTAGGTTTTTAGTTGATTTGTGACTGTGCTGCTCTAACCTCACCTTTCCGTGCAATTCAACCACATCCCTTAGATGAAGTCAGGAGGTTTCTCTTGTAGCACGTCTGAGAGGCCACCAGAGTGACATTGTGTGGGTGTGCAGGTGACAAGTCACAAGCATGGCACAGGACACACAGGACATGTTTCCTGTGCTGCTGTTCCCTGTGCTGCTCTCAAAGAGCTTTTAACCAGTTTTGGCCCACGAGATGAGTAAATTGTGGTGCTGAATGTGCAGAGTGTAACTGCTGCCTGCCCAGGAGCTGAAATAAAATGAAGGCTGTTTATTAGGATAAATGGTAATGAAGGGGAGGGTAAGTAAATTCTGGTCTTAAACACAGTTTTTGGAGCTTGGAAAAGTCCCTCAAAATTAGATTTTTATTCTTTTTTCTTGGTAAGCTAGAAATTGTGGTATCAGATGTCCATAGTAGTAAAGCTAATTCAGTGTGCTCTAAAGCACTTATCTGTGAATAAAGGCCTTCGTGTTCTAGAAACCCTCAATGCCCTAAATGAAACAATCAGATGACAATGTATGTTGGAAAATAAGAGTGTGATGTAGGCTTAGATATTAGAGAAATAAAGATAAGAGTTAATACTGTGAGCTGTCATGAGTGTGTGCTTGGTATTAGGAGAGATGTATTCAGAGTAGAAATAACACTGGAAATCCATAAGGGTGCCACATGTGCCCAATAAAAGAGATGGACATTGACTTTCTAAGTAATGTAAAGTGGACATTAGAGAGGATGTGTTGTGCTTTCAAGGGGGAGGATGGTAGAACAGTGAAATACTGAGAACAATATTGTGTCAGAACTGTTGATTTAAAAAAAAAGTGTACCACTCATTGTAGTGGAGGATTGTGCTAAATGGTTCAGATCCACCAAGTAAAGGGTTTGGTGGTTTTTTTGTACTGTAAGTGGTTGAATTAATGTGCTTTTCTGGATGTGTAGGACAAAGATCCCAGTTATTGTGTCCTAAAAATACATGATCAGCTGTTCTTGACAGAATTGTGAATTATCTCTTCTTGGACAGTTTAACTTCTTTAAAGCTTCTGCTAACATGGCAAGCTCAGAAGTTGGAAGGTAGAAAGTTACTAATTGGTCGAGGTCCCATTTCCAGCCTGAGGCAACAAGATCTGAAGATTGTACATTGGCTGGGAATGTTTATCCTCACCCAACAGCCTCAGCCTGTGGGGAGCGTTGGGAGGGCTGGGCTTTGACCACCTGCAAAGAGAAGGTGCTGAGTTCTTTACCATCACCTTTATTCCCTGGGTACTCAGATCTGTTGTCTCTGAAGCCCATTGTTAGTGCCTTTGGAGAGACATGAGAATATAATGGTAAAAAAGGGTTCATGATCCCATCCTGCCTGTCTTGCCTTCCTGTTCCTCAAAACTCCCACTTTGTTCATATTTTTTCTCTCTGTTTATTTTAACTCTCCCCTCTCCAGACAGCAAGGTGTGTTACTCTGCTGTGCAGAGTCCAAAGCAGTTGTTAAGTTGGTGTTCTAGAAGAGAAGGTGACTGATGGACAAAGGATAACAGAAGATCAATAAACACAGTCAACAGTGGTGTTTTCCCATAAAGGTCAGGAGGGCAGAGGAAATTAATTGTGTGTGAACCAGGCTTTAATATTCATTACCCAGTGTCTCAGTGGGTTATAAAGTGTTGTGCTCCCTGACCCCACTGGTGAGGGATGACAGGGACGTTGCAGGAGGATGTCCTGTAGTGCTGTGAACATATTGCATGGCCTGTCAATGCAGGATTGTTATCCTGAAGCTGTGAGAAGATGGGATGGTCAAACTTAGAATAGGATCTCTTAAAAGGGTATGAAAATGGATATTCAGGAGTTGGGCTGCTCTTCTAGAGGATCTGTTTGAGCCTGTAAAAACTGCTATATTGGGGTTTAGTAGCTTAAATAAAGACGGAGAGCTGTAAGACTCTGGAGCCTACTCTGGATTTCATGTGTTTTGTTTAAATTATATGTCAGTTGTAAAATAGGACTACAAAAATACAGG